TTGTATGCCCATGTGAACGGGGGATCTGGTCTTAGTCAGTATCTGACGTCAATCTCAGTCATAATGCTTGCTTACACAAAAACTGCCGCAGATCATGCCGATGGTCCTCCGGCGAATACTGCTCGGCGTGGTAGCTCGGCGTCAGCACCGTCATCTTGTGCCGGTTAATCGAGTAATGGTAGAAGAAATGCCGCGTCTTCTCGTAGATCTCGCGCGGACTGTACTCGTTGCCCCACACGTGTAGCAGCTTCTCGTACATGGTCCAGGGCCCCAGTTTGGCCACTTTCCGCAGCCGTCCAAACACCGACAGCTCCTGGTAGGTCATGCCCATGTCGGCCTCGTCCGACTGCACGTACGTCGATGTCATCGGCTCGAGTTCGGCTGTCGGTGTTGCTTTCAGGAAGTCCTCTAGGATCGGCAGGTTGAAGGCTGTGATGGCCCATTTGATGAAGGATTTAAGGTCGACCTTCGAAATCGACCCGCTATACGACCAGTCAGCAGTGAGCGTCAAACGACGATCAAACGTATGTATGTACATACATCGGGTTGAGCTGCAGCAGTCAGAACATTACTCCACAAATTCTGTTCAAGGGCACTACTTACATCTGCACTGCTGCAATCGTATTTCGTAAGATAGCCCCGAAGACTGCTCTGTCAGACCGATCAATCAACAAAAATATATAGACTCCAGCTCATACCTCTCGTCAACATTGGCACTCGCCAAAACGAGAAGCCCTCCATACCGCTTGCGCACCGTCGGCAGCATCTGCGCAAACATGTACGACAGAATCATCCGCAGGCGCGCTTGGATGTTCTGCAGCGCCGCGTTTTCGGCCGAGCTGCCGCCATGCACCTTGAAGCGAGGCTGGAAGTTGGTGACCGCCGTGAATAGATTCGTCAACGCGCTCACGGCCGTGTCGATATTCATGTCGATGTGGTACGAGCCGATTTCCGTCGCCAGCCTTTTCGCCCGCTCCCGCGTGGCCTTGCTCGAGTTTTGCGACCCCATGAACGCGGTGTGAAACAGCCGGCTGACTCGTCAGCACGTTAGATAAATGCTGTGCTAGACATGCGCATACTGGCAAACTTCCTGCGGCTCTTTGGGCAGCCACGTCGACCCTTCGGGTTCTGCACACAGACGGCGGACATCCCTGATCACGTCCTTGTTCCCCTCCGAGATCGCCCTGATGACCTCTCGGCACATGGAGAAGACAATGATGGCAGTGGAACAGCTATCAATCCCTCCACTCAGCGGGAGGAAGAATCCCGCAGCGCCGCCTCGGCGGATGTAGTCCCACAGCCAGCATGCTGGGCCCAGGGCAATCTCTTCTTCCGGCAGGTGATACCGCGGCTCGACCGGTTGAGAGGGCATAAGCCCAGGTTCGGCGTCTCCTGCCACTCGGGATAGCCGCATGTCCAGTTCCAAGCGGATGACCGCAGGCTGCTTGCTGGCCTGCAGTCCGCGGCTGGCTGTGGATCTGAAGGTGCGAACATCTTCGATATCCACCGTCGCAGTAACCACCTCGACGTCGTTCAGGGAGAATTGCGAGCCCTGCGCAAGGATGCTACCGTTGACAACGATCATGGCGCAACCGTCGTAATAGAGCCGGTCTCCGTCGCAGCCTTGCTGATTTGCCTGGTTTTGTTAAAATCAAGACGAATATTGCATCAACCCGTCTACTTACATAGAGATATATACCACCAGACTGTAGGCGTCAGCTCTTATCTGCTCTTCAAGGACAATGATCCATACCGATTGCGTGGCCTGCGTGATCAGATTGATCCGGGTATCCAGCTTCCTCAACTCGTGGTGGCTCCCAGAGGAGTTGGAGATGATCTCGACACCTGACCTGTTAGCACGTATCATAGAGGATAATTAGGTAAGAATCCTCTACCTACCCGCCAGACCATACGGAATATGAGCGCTAAGCAACGTCAGCAGGCTCCCTTTGGGTCAGATCGAAGCGACAAACCCATTCGGCGTGAACAGCTCCTCACACGTCTCCATTCCTAGAGAGCTCAGACGGGGACTGGAAGTGGTTCAAGCACGGCGTACCAATGCATGTGTCTCTGGTGCTGATGACGGCGTCACCAAAGGGGACTGTGTACTGCCCGGTGATGTTCCCTACGATCTGCTCGAGGTAATAGTCCTCGACTTCGCGCGGACGCTGCCAGGGGGTGAAGTATCGCATTTCTCTGTAGTTTCCATCTGTCCGGACAACATTAGTATTGTCATGTCTTGTCTGACATGTCCCAAGAAAATCATTACCATTGGCCAGCCACATCTTGGGCCGGATGAGGACAATCTTCTTGTTGTAGAAGACCACACGGCAGTTGTAGCGGACATTGCGATGGCGGACAGGCATGCCCACGTCGACGAGGATGTCCTGGCAGACCGGATCCTGAATGATGCGGGCCAGCATCTCCCACGAGTGCAGAAAGACGTCACCCTCGAGGAAGTGGTCCAGACAGCCGTAGCCAGTGATCTCGAGCTCAGGGCCGACGCGCATGGTGGCTCCGGCCTCTTTGGCGCGACGGATGCTCTCGATGATGCGGGCAGCGTTGCCTTCGAAGTCGAGGGCCCATTGATTGAGGGAGCTGGCAGGAGTTAGCAAGAGAGCTTGGATAGCAGCAGGCAGGATACAGACCATGTCGCCAACGTCACCAAATGGCCCATTTTGAGAACGTTTCGTTAGTAGTAACTGGTATGACTATTCTGTAGATCAGCAGGTACAAGCATGATGCACTAACCAATTGATGGAACCTTACCAAGTCTGGATCATCTTAGCTGCATCTTTGCTTACGATCAGCATGACGTGTGAGGGTTTCCTGCTTGGGAAGCGGCACTCCGTTCTCCGTCATGCACAAAGCTTGGCCGAAGTATTCAGCTAATTAGGGCTATGGTTAGAGACTAACTTCCTGACAGAGGGCAAGGATAACTAGATATCGATATAGTAATTTTTTATCGATTATTACATTCTTTAAAATATTTTTATTGAGTATCTAGTTCCATCTTTAAAAGTCATAGCATTATATAATGAACAATGCGGTATCCCACGTGAGGTTCTTTCCAATTCGGGTAGGCATCGGTAAACATTTATCCGATTTGCTCCAGTATAAACGCTCCGTTACAAAAGATTTATTATTGTTATTTTTTTATAAATTATCAAAATTACAAAAATACGTCAATCTGGTGCCAAGCAGAATCTCTGGGCGATCAGAGCTTTTCTGTGGATATGCCGAACTAACCCGTCGCAGACGCATGGAGGGGCCGATGACGCTGGCTGATTAATACAGAGCGTACGAGTGGGGAAGGAGGAGACAGCCCGGCAATATTCCGTAATCGCCATGTTTACCCCAGAATCGTCCATCTGAATGACAGTTCCTTCTTGTTTTCGGTGTTTATATCGTCATTGGCATGAGATAGACTAGCCCAGACGTGTCTGTGCCTTTTCTGAGCCTTCTTCTCGACCAATTCGTTTTGTTCGTCTGCCAGCTACCATGAGCGCCCATCCCGGTCCGCAGCTCCCCTCCCCCGCGCACATCCAGGCCGACTCGATGCTCGCCCGACGGTTTGGCAGGGAGACGGTCAACTACTTTTCCAGTCAGTACCTGTACTTGAATTAATTCATTGCGTGCGCATTGTGACAACTGCTGATTTTTTTTTTCCTCCTTTCAGGCTCCCCGTTGAACCGTCTCTCTTTCCTGCGGACAGAGCACCCGTTCCTCGCCGCCGCGCTCAAGCACCCCTCCACCCGCTTCATCCTGCTCAAGGACCTCGCCCCGCTGACCCAGTCGCCCGCTGAGCTCTACTACGCCCAGTATGAGGATGTCCAGAAGCTGGTGCCCGCCGATATCTACGACAAGTCTGAGGAGGAGATGATCCGCGACTACGACTCCCGCCGAACCGTCCCGCAGCTCGTCTTCCTCGGCCTGGACGAGTCCGACAAGGACGGTACCATGGAATGGAAGATCTACAAGGGGAGGCCGTACTTCGCTCTGGACGTGTCGCAGAGAGGAAACGAGGAGCAGCAGGCTCATGCCAAGGAGCTGGTCGAGGCCATGGAGGCGAAGGGGCTGACCTTTCTCAAGGCGCGGATCCATAACACGCTGCCGGCTGATCAGGGTGAGCAATCCAATGTCATATCCAACTAGGCCATTTGATGAGCTAACTGAAAACTTGTGCAGCCGCCATCTACGCGCAGGGCCGGGCGCTCATCGACTGGAACACGCGCAACACCTTCTGCGGCACCTGCGGCCACACGACGCTGTCGGTCAACGCGGGCACCAAGCGGGCATGTCCTCCAACCGACGCGGCGCTCGCAGCGCAGGGCAAATCGCCAGAGCGACCGCCCTGCTCGACGCGCACGACCCTGTCCAACCTCTCGTTCCCCCGGACCGACCCGACCATCATCGTCGCCGTGCTGTCCGCCGACGGCCAGCGCATCCTCCTCGGCCGCTCCAAGCGCTTCCCGCCCAACTGGTACTCCACGCTGGCGGGATTCGTCGAACCCGCCGAGTCGGTCGAGGACGCCGTGCGGCGCGAGGTCTGGGAAGAAGCCGGCGTGACGCTGTCGCGCGTGGTGATCCACTCGTCGCAGCCGTGGCCATACCCGGCCAACCTGATGATCGGGGCGATCGCGCAGGTCAGCGATCCGGCCCACGAGAAGATCAGCCTGGCGCATGACCCGGAGCTGGAGGATGCCAAATGGTTCCCGATCGCCGAGGTCGAGGAGGCGCTGAAGAACGGCACCAGTGGGATAGGCGAGCCGCCCGGCCCGTACTACAAGGAAGGGAACCTGCGTCTGCCTCCTCCCACGGCCATCGCCAACCAGCTCATCCAGTCAGCCATCAACCAAGACTATATCAGCGATAAGACCTCGAAGATGTAACGAAATCTACTGAGATAGATATCTTACAGTATGACGTTTATTCTTTTCTTTATGACCTAGCGATGATAGAGAGAGGTAGGTTAGGTGCACGTGCACCTCGAACAATTTCTGTTCTGTACATAGATAAATCCACATTACATTGGATATGAACATCGCAGAATTGAATTGCTATGAGGCACAACAAGTTCCTCCTGTTTGTTCTGTCCATTAAGGAATAACCTCTCTCTCTCTCTAAGAACAACCCAACTACTGTATATATATCTATATACAGATTTTGCAACATCGATACCCGTTGCCACTTGCCCATACATAGCCAGACAGACAAAGACTAAGACTACACGTGCAGGGCGCCGCGTGAGATCCAGATCCCTACCCCCTCATGATTTCTTCAGATAGGAAGTGAGTGAAGCACGTCACCAGACCAGTAAGCGCTTTATTCGTTAGAGAAGACCTTAGAATAATATCTCGAGAAAAAAGAAGAGAATCCCACAGTAATGTAGTTCCATCCAGTTGTACGGAGTACAAGCGTCCCGATATAAGGGCACCGCAACCTGACCCGCCCGTGCAGATCATCAATCGAGGCCGCGAGGACATCGAAATCTTGATTTGATTTGATTTTTGTCCCAACTTTCATTGAGAACGCATGCTGTCACCACCGCCTTCCTGTCGGACCCGTTTTGCTTCCCGTTCGTTGCCCTGAGGAATGGATGCGCTGGCCTTGCGCTTCTCCTTTTCCCTTTCCCGTCGAGCTTCTCGATCCTTCTCCTTGCGGAGCGCTTTGGACTCGAACTCGTGCCAGTCTCCTTCAATGTTCTCCAGTCTATATACGACATGCGTTAGCGTTGTCTATGAATGAACATGACAAACAGCAATGAAATCTTCTTGGACTTACTCAGTAGCCTGCTGGGGACCCGGTTCCTCCGTCACAAAGTAAGGATGTGAAAGCACCTCCTCCGCAGTGGGTCGCTTGGCAGGATCGTAACGGAACATCTGGGCAACGAGGTCCAAGGCGGCTGGGGACAGGATGTCACGATAAATATCCTCGAATACCCTCTTCTTCCTCTCCGTCGGCCGCATCAGTTCGAACCACGGCATGTCAATAATGCCGGGCCAATCCGCCGACGTGGGCGTCCCCAGAATGTTGTAGAGCTTATCCAGTTGACTGATCTCCCCGCCGTCCCCGGGGAACACGGCCTTCTTGCTGAACATTTCGATAAACACGCAGGCAGCACTCCAGACGTCAACAGCAGGACCATATCTGGTTTCGCCCAGGAGAAGCTCCGGAGGGCGGTACCAGATAGTAATGACTCGATTCGTATAATCGAGTTGACGGCTCTTGGAGAAGAAGCGAGCAAGACCAAAGTCAGCAAACTTCAGCTGTCCCCGATTGCTGATCAAGATATTGGCCGCTTTGATGTCCCGATGGAGGACGCCGCGATGATGGAGATAGCTAAGACCTTCGAACATCTGCTTCGCAAGATCCTTTTTGTGTGCTGCCGTCAACGTGAACGTCGGGTGGTTGATGAGCCCCGTCAGATCATGTGAGAGGTATTCGAAAACCATGAAGCATTCGTTCTTTTCGACCATCACTTCGAGCAGACTCACGACGTTGTGGCTGCGAAGGTGTTGGAGCAACTTGATCTCGCGGACAGCCGTGACGGGAAACCCGTCTTTTTCACCCTCCATGCGGATTCTCTTCAAAGCGACCTTTTCTTTGGTATAGATGTGGATGGCTTTGAACACCTTGCCATAAGTACCCGCACCAATGACCGATTCGTTCCCCGGTTTCCGATAATAGACCGAGTCGGATTCTTTGAACTCTTCGGCCAATGTTGGGCGTGGTTTCAAACGTTTCACGACCTTCTTTGGTTTCTTGACTTCAGGAGACCGCTCACGACGCCGCTCAGGCCTAAACTCCGGCCTGCGGTCATCCCGTCGTCTATCCTCGCGGTGATCAAAGCGACGATCGTCTTTCCGAGAATCCCGCGGGTCTGGTCTATCTCTGAAGTCTCGACGGTCATCCCTATTCCGAGGGCGACGGATGTCTCTATCCCTGTCCCGGTCCCGGTCCCGATCCCGATCCCAATCTCGATCCCGATCCCGATCCCGGTCTCGTTCTCGGTCTCGATCTCGGTCCCTTCGGTCTGAACGGAAGTCATGCAAGAATTTAGGGGGAGGTCCGCTGGAGAGCCTACTACGAGGTGGCGGCTCAGGCTGTCGAGGGGGCGGTTCTCGGGCCTGCATTCTCTGTGCAAGATCTGGGACAGGTTTCGGTATCGGGGCAGGGGTAGTCTTGGTTTTAAAGGCGAAACTAAATTTGCCGCCCTCTTTCGCCGGAGTCGACGTCGTATTAGGCTGGGCAGGTGGAGGCATCTTTTGAGCATCGCCATTCTCCGAGCCTGGTTTCGTTCCTTGGTCTTCCACCTGCAAGTCCTTGGACGGCCTGAAGGGATTCCCGCTCTCCCCAACGTCAGGAGACATTCTTTCGTCGGCAGGGGGGGGAGGAGGAGGAGGAGGTTGTTGGTGCACTGGACTGTTCGAGCCCGAATTCGTTTGTGAACCCTGTGGGCTGTGTTGGTCACCACGACCTCGCGACCCCGAAGCTGTCCATTGAAGGTTGCTGAAGTGTCCTCGACCACGCTGCGGAGTCGCACCGTTAAAATTTTGTGAACTTGCACCCGAAAATCGTCGGTCTTGGCCAGGACCATGGTAGTTCCCACGGTAGCCGGAATGCCCTCCGCGAAATGGTGGACCGGAATACCCCTGTTGCATGTGGGATGGCGGACCAGAATACTGGCTTTGGTTTTGATAGTACTGTCCCTGCGGGGCTCCTTGAGGGGGATAACTGTTCTGCCGATACGGAGGCGAGTGACTATGTATCGGTGGATGATATTAGCATAGACTAAGGGGAAGACAAACAAAAAAAAATGCAAAATGGGGGAAAAAGAAAACTTACCCGTGCTGACCAGCAAACGGCGGTTGGCCGTTCCATCCACCCCGCCCACTTGAGTAAGGTGACCCAGACTGAGGTGAGCCATGATAAGAACTGGTTGGAGTCACAAACTGCGGAGAAGTGGAATACTGTCGGGTATCCACACGCGGCCGGGGCGGTCGCATTCGCTGGTGGCCATGCACATCGGACGCTCGCATGCCATGCATCGGGAAAGCCTCCCGTATGCGGCTTTCGCCATCCATCGGATCGCCAACATTGTCGGAGTCGAAACTAGGAATGGGCCGAAGTGGAGATGGCGATCTGTTGGACTCATCCACAATAGACTGGATCGGTCTGGTTGAATTCATATTCCGATCTGGTTCCAGGGAGTCTCGAGACGGTGATCGAGACCCCGAGTATCTCGAATGGACTGAGTGGCGAGACGAAGCACGATGACGGCGACCCTCGAAAACAGAGAGACGAGACTCCCGGCTACGAGACCGTCGGCGAGGTGAATCAGGCCTGCGCTCGTTCCGTCTTATGGGCGATCGAGACCGTCGAAACTTGGGAGGCCGGCCGTGTTCAAGATCGTCAATCTCTCGTGGAGAGACAAATTTTTTCGGCCCCTTCTCTCGATAGGGTATTTCCTTCCGGCCTCTCCGAGGGAACGTGTCACGACTCGACGGAGGCTTCTCGCGGCTGTCAGGGAGGTCACGATGGTGACTCTCTATATGATAGGAATGACGATCACGGTGATGGTGGTCACGGCGAGAAGCGCGGGGTGATGGACTGCGGGTTCGCTTCCGCTTGGACGGTGGTGCTGCCGGGGAGTCGTCTCTCCTCGATGCTTGCTCCCCTACCGGCGAACGCTCGATGCTTCGATGTGGGCGGGAAGGCCGTCTTGGAGATGGAGACCGCCCCCGAGCGCTGGCCAGCGAGCTCCGGCGAGAGGGTGGTGGATAGCGGCCCGCTGGAGCGCCGGGAGACGAGTCACGATAATTGCTCGACGCCTCGTAGTCGGAAGGAGGGCGACGACGCGATGGTGGCGATGATCGTGGGCGACGATCTGGCCCGCCCTGTTTGAAACGGGGATGATGCTCTCGGCCGCGGGTTCTGTCCCTGCCTTTCTCGCGTTCCGGGCCTCGATCGAGATCACGATCACGATCACGGTCACGATCTCGGGGCTCTTTGGCGGCTCTCCACTCGTCTCTCACCAGCGGACTCCTTCGGGACCCAGCCATGTAATCTTCTTTAACGGCATCTGGTGAGAATGCGGTGCTCTCGTAAGGAGGAGGGTGAAAGGAAAAAGGTGTCGATGGGGGTGGCTGCAGGGCTGGACGAGGTCGAGGGGGGCAAGGGCCGAGCGAGTCGGGTGGAAGAGCCTCCTCTGTTCGCAGTCTCTCACGCTCGCCCTCTGGATCAACGGGCGTGTCTGGCGTCTGTTCAGGTCGGCCGGCGGTTAGTGTTGGGTGCGCGGAACGGCCGTTTTTCCGGGCGGGAAAAGCACGTCTGCAGCCTTGGCAGCTGTGCGGGCGACCTGTGGGCAAGGCGACGCATAAGACTCCCGTACAGAGCATACAGATAGAGGGGATGGGGAGATACGCACCTCTCGCATCCGGCCTAGACATACAAAGCTTGCACTGCGCGCAAGCGAGTTTACAGCATGTTGCGTAGGCGCCTGTCCAGTGGGGCTTGGTCGGGGCGGCTGTTGTGCAGGACTCGGAGGACGTGCTCACAGCACCGCAAGGGACTTTGGCCAGCCGTGACCATGATCCCAAAACCCTCGACTCTTTCAGCGCAGATGCTCTACGAATGCCTGTCGGGAGCGACAGTCACATTGAGCCAGCGGCTCTCCTGCTGCTGACCCGAACCGACTGGAATGGCGATGGCTGCCGGAAACCTCCCACCGGCTCAGACAAGAATGCTTCCTCAATCCTTCGCCCTGAAGTCTTTTCTCTCGAGCAGTGGCCAGTGACTTTTGGTCTCCAAGCTGTTGGCGAGCTCGTTCCACCGCTTTGGCTCCCAGACTCACGAGAACCCATGTGGTGGGAGTGCAATCTGTCAGTGTCGGACTATCCTCCTCCAGATGGCGCTTGCACCCATTTTGGCACTCCGATCCTCTCAGCAAGCCTCTCTCCCCACTGCCATCAGCATCTCTTGACCAGAGACGGTGCTATCTACGAAATGCAACAAATGCAAAAGAACGAAGATTCGCTGTTGTAGCACAGCCAGCAATGTCAACATCACTAGCGTCGCCAGCGTCCTGTCCGAACCTCTCCTTTCTCCTCCAGACTCTCACATCCTTAACGGAAATTTGAATGACTCTCAAGAAGCCAGACTGTAAGGAATGATGCCGTAGAGCCCAGTGAAGATCCTTGCAACCAAACCAGATCCTGCAATCGGGCATGTGATGGCCACGATGAACATAGTCCACTCCACGAAATCCTATTCTTTCACCGAACAGTAAATCATCGGAGTTGACGGATTCAAAGGACCGCACGTCAAGGACGAAATCACCCGTTAATATCGTCAGGGAGCACTGAATACCGTAGCAGGTAAAGGAACTGGAATAACCTCGAAGGTTTACTGCTGGTGTGAATGCGATCAACTGTGGGTTGAGTGCCGCTTGACATGTAAGTGATGGTTACCAAAGGTAGTCAGCTTCCGGGAAGTTGTCAGCGTCATTGCAAGGCCACGAGCGAACCGGTCCCATGGTGTACTCCTATTATCACCCCCAATCGAAGTACCTTAAAAGGACCTGGGTTTAAAGCCATATCCTGTCATAATAGGCTGGTAACCACAAGGCTGAGGGGGCGTCAGCAGTAAGTAATCCTTGAGACCTCTTGGCAGCTTTCTTGAAAGAGGTGATCAAGAGCCGGGCAGTAGGCTCCAGATGGCGAGGGGCTACAAAAACAAGTATGGATCATCTGCGATCCTCACGGCCATAGCCACCTTATACATCGTCAGGGTATGAGGTGTGGAAGCTGGAAAAGTGGTGTAGACTTCTGGATCAAATGGCATAGAGGCGTCGTAGAGCTGTTGCGTGGTGATGTACCGGTCGGTCGGTCGGCAAGCTGCAACACAACCACAGACCAACCACAGGCAAGGTGACGCCGTTGCCGGCGGGCGCGAGGTCGATGCGTGACATGGTAGAATAAACCCCAACTCCGGATAGAAGAGGAAACGAGAGAGTACTGCTTAGTGTCCTGTTCAACAGGACTGAAAGAAAGGATGGCTGGCTGCGATGCTGAGGACTGGCAGGTTGGGTGGTTGCGAGTTGGCTGGCTTGGGGCCACGGCAATGCCAAGAGCGTCCCGTCGCTTAGCTGTCATGTGATGCACGTGACTGAAAGTGAGGCATCAACTGGCCTGCTTCAGGCATCAACATCCACTCCTAACAATAACCACGTACTCTTAGATAGAGATCAAAAATATCTATGAGCTACCAATTCAATTTGGACTTAAGATTGCATTAAAGTTCATATCTGATTGGTTTTCGAGCTGTGTACAACATTATCACCCTCTGTCATTGCATCATCCACGACAAGCCCCAGTAATGGCACAAATATGTATTTTCTCTTGATCCCTCTCACTGGCGTAACTTCCCCCCAAAACCAATGTTCATAATTCTCTTCATGTCCTACTCGAGTCAATCCCATATGCCTTGAAATAGCATTGAATAACGGCCTGCCCATCCATGAATCACACCGTAACACCTTCCCTAGGCTCTGTTGCAGTGAAGTGTTGGCCTGAAGTCTCTCTATCTCTCTGCGCCGCCTGCACATGGATTGCTGACTTGACTCTCGTCTGTCTTGTCTTCATGACAGGCGGCATTTTGTATTGCCAGTTAAACATGTCAAAGTAGTGCTGCTGCATGTCCAGGCCCCTGCGCACGCATTCCTTCAAAATCAACTCATCCGGACGCTGGAGCTTGACGGTACTTCTAGCTCTGCCGTACCCTTCGTACTGGAGCTTCCCGACTTCGTCTGGTGCCACGCCAAAGATGTGGTTGTTAACCTCCCCCGGCGACGGCTGATACTTCCAGCGGACGAATGCCTTGAGCGTCTCGTGGGCATCTTTCAGTGCCGTGCGCTTGAGCACCTTCCACAACAATGTAAGGCTGGGCTGCGCCATAAGCAAATGCCTCATGCCGTTCCTACCTGCACCGCTGAGAGGGTGAGTGAAACGGACGTCGAGTTTCACGAGGAACAGGGTTGCAAAGAATAGATCCATGTCACTCCACAGCCGTCTATTCTGAATCGTGCCGATGCGGCGACCGTTGTCCGGAATATCCATTAGGAACCACAACTTCTTGATCACGATTGCACAGTGCTTCGGCAGACCAACCCCCTCATGAGCCATGAGTTTCAATATCTTGTTAACTACTGATTCGCGCCAACAGACCATCTTAAGCCACCGGAAAGATGGAACAAAGCGTGTCTCCCCAGTGATTGCACTGTTCCTGCTGCTAATTGGATCCGGAACGCAGAGTTTCCGGTAACAGCGAAAGGGAAAGATGCGAGCAGAGTGAGGGGCCTTTTTGAGGGCTTGGGAAAGGATGACCGTCATCAGATGGGTGTTGATCATCGCATGGAACTCTTTTGAGATTGCGTAAAGAGAGATAAGTTCCTGGACACGAAGGTAACTAGCGAAGTGAAACACCAGCTGCGGATGTCTGATAATAGCCCGCAAGACGTTGAATTCCTGATTTGACTGACTCTCGCCGTTGCCGGTGCCAGGGCCTTCGCTATTTCCACCTGCGAGTCTCGCACGTTTGTTCCTGTTGCTGGTTGATCCAGATTGTGCAGGGGCAGTAGTTGCATTCTTGCGCACCTTTTTGCGCGATGAGGACTTTGAACCTGTGTTACCCGAAGCTCCCTCCTTATTATCACCTTGGCTGCGAGCCGGCATTACTGGGATCGTCTGCGCTTGGTCTTTCATTCCGATATTAGAAGCCGCATTGTTATCGGGAAATCGGTTCGCCTGCAGAGGTTTGGCTCGAGTCCTAGTTGCATCTTGGAAATCAGAAGGACCAGTAATAGCAAAACCATATCCAAGATTAGGAAGCTGGCTCGACATCTGAGGAGGCCTCATGTTATTGTTGGTTATTCCTCGAACGGTCAACGGACTTGCTGGCAGCCCTGGTCTGGCTTCATCACTGGTAGTTACGGGAATCGACGATGATATATTTGCCGGCTGACGAGGGAGATGGGACTGCAGATCGTTGTTGCCATGATTTCTCCAATGAACATCTGGAGGACTGACATGCAGAATCTGCAACTGAGTAGGCAAGCCATGTTGGTCTGAATCACGCGTTTTTCCTGAAGTGTCCTGTCCACCGGTCATGCCTCGAGGAATTGTCTCATTGACTTCTGCTGGGGGAAGCATCTCAGAACCGTCATGACCAGCATTTGGGCCAATGTACTTGATGCGCGCCATGGTGTGTTTCCAGAAACTCGCTATCAAAGACGTCAGATATCTCTTGATTAGACACGTGCATGCGCATCAAAGACAGCAGACTTACCTCGAATGAGGAAACCTTGCTTGTTTATCGTCTTTCTCTGAATGCTGTTCGACTTTGACAGGTTGTGTTCACAGTCTGTTTGGTAAAAGAGACGCGATGAAGCAAAGGTAATAATGTCCAGAATCAGGAAGACAAAAACTAGACTCGAGCTCGAGATGTCAAGCTATTTGAATACCACAAGAAGTTTTGAGCGTGCAGAAATGAACGAGGTGGAAGCCAAGTCACGTAAGAGAAAGAGGGGAGAAACTGTGATGGCAAGTGCCTGTGAGACGCGTGTGTTTGTTTCTCTCACTCTCATCTTGTTTCCTCTGATGTTACGAGGCCTGTCTTTATAGCGGAGACTGCCGAGAAGGGAACATTCACTGGTGAGGGAAGAACAATAGGAAGGTTGCCATGGCTGCCTGGTGTGAAAGGGGAGAACAATAGGTATCCCCCGATGAGGTCTCTCACTAGTCTAACTAAACAACAATGATCAGTGAATGCCTTGCCACTGTCAACCTGGACCGGAATATTCCAAGTTCCAGGCTCCATCAGTAATAATTCACATCTGTCCTTAAATTTGTATGACCGCGTAGCAAAATTGATTCAATGCTAGCGACAAGTGTTGAAAAAAAAGGATCTACATGACAATCATATTTCAAAATCACCGCCCATCTCTGATCTTTGGAAGAATATGATTCTATTTCCAAAGAATCCCCTCTTTTGTGATCATGTTGTTTCCGAGCCTTCCACCGAGAAACGCCCAAAAAAGCCAAGTCCTAAAAAATGGCTATCCAAGGAGTTGAGTCTGCCTTCTATTATATGCCAGGATGCGTAAAACGTTGAGGAACGAAAATACCCAGGTAATCATACAGCAAGACCGCTGGCGACAGCAAATATGTTGAGGCGTAAAAGAACTAAATAAACAAGTCCTCCCACTGTCCCGGGAGAAGAGGTTGAACAGTATAAAATGCCCATGATAACCTGTTGAAAGGTCACACCATAACTCCGGTAAATAAGGACTGCTATAGACGTAAGCGGCAAGAGTCGCATGAACTACGGAGGATGAAGGACATGGCATGCGCAAGATGCCAGTTCAGCAGTCATCATCTCCGGTTCAGCAGGGTTAAGAACTCCTCTCGGGTCTTCGCGCTTGACCGCATGCAACCCAGCATACAGCTGGTGGTGGTTGTACTGCTGGTCTTCTCTACCCCACGCATGACCATGCAAAGATGGGACGACTCCATGACAACCCCGACACCACGAGGTTTCAAAACTTCTGAGATCGCTAGTGCGACCTGTTTGGTGAGACGTTCCTGCACCTGCAGTCGTCGGGAGAACATTTCGGCCAAGCGAGCAAGTTTCGAAAGACCAAGAACACGTCGATCAGGGATATAACCGATGTGCATCTATTATGCAGTATCGCGATTAGTTTTCAGAATTGCCACGAAGACAATGGTCAAGGTATCATACCTTTCCGGTGAATGGAACCATGTGGTGCTCACACAGAGAGAAGACTTCGATGTCCTTCACAATAACCAACTCATCATGGTCTTCGTGGAAAACAGCCCCATTGACCAAGTCTCTCACGTTCTCTTCATAGCCCTTTGTGAAAAAGAGCATAGCTCTGGCGTATCTTTCGGGGGTCGCTCGGAGACCCTCTCTCTCTGGATCCTCGCCAATACATTCGAGAATGGTCCTCACAGCTCCTGCCAGTTTCTTTATTCTCTCTTCCGTTTGCTCCGGCGTCGACTCAAGCCGCGCTCTTGTTCCCGGACCTACGGCGTGTTGTTAGCTCACGTATAGCATCGAGCAGCGGTCGCACACTAACAGGGCCAACTCAATCCATCGAAATCAATGGGCGGGACAAGCGTATATGGACTGGCAGGTCGGCTGACAGTTGTGGGGGGCGTCAGAGGAGCACCTTCGTCTCGTGGATCACGCGGCGGGTCATTCAGCGAAGGTCTAGAGACTGCTCAGTATCCAGATCTCGACATGTGGAAGAATAGTTTTTACCTTGCCGTATTCTTGGAATCGTTGTTCGCACTCTTTGAGATGGATTCACTGCCATTTTTATGAGAATTGCTCTCCGCGGGCGGCTCAATGTCAACTGCAGGGCGGAAGGAAGAACGGATGGAGGCATTCAGACTGTCTCGTTCTCGTTCCCGTGCGCTGGGAGTGGAAGACGTATGCAACGGGGAGCTGCCATTCAAAACATGAGATGGTAGAGCAGGCCTGGGCCTTGGACCCAAGGGTGGAGAAGAGCCAGAACTCATAGTAATCTTCCTTGGGGTCCGCAGTGAAGTGGGATGGAGGGAGGGATTCTCGAGAGGGGGAAATCAGATTGTGATGAGTCAATCACTAATTGCACGGCGACATCATTTATTCATCCGAGGCTGGCAGCTCATTGATCGACACGATGCCAGTCCGGACCTCAGGAAAGAGTCACAATCGGGACTGCGCACGGAAGAGCCGCCCTCGGAGAGCGATAGAAAGGCACTTTTTCACATCCCCGCGATGGGACAGCACGGGCCGTGATCTAATCTGGATTAAAACGGACGTAACCAACGCTGTTTTAGCGGCACGAGACTCGCCGCCGGCTCTCCTGCTGAGCCCGATCGGAATCACGCGCCTTGGCGGACGCTTCTTCGGTCCTGATCCGGTTAGTGGCGTCGCTCTTCTGAATGAGTCAGATAGAGCTACGATAAGCTCCACCGCCTTGCGTTGTAGCCACCAACTCGTACGAGAAACCCCTCCACATGGCAATTAGAAAGTATAGATGCACATACTCTTTTATTTATCTCATCTGATCTGCAGTACAGTACAGGTAAATCTCTAGTATGTATGTACCAGGAGGACCACGAATGACGGACATCCAAAAATGAGACATCACTGCAGCTAATTCAATTACCAATTTCTACCTCGTATGAATTCTATCCCTGCCTAGACTAGAAAGGTGTTCTTGGATTTAATACATGTTCGAAGGCACGGTCTTCTATCTTAGAATTTTAACTTTAAATGCATTCGTGCTCATACAAGTGACTATTACCATCCGCAGATCCCAAGAAAACTTCCCCCGGACAAGAAAAAAGAGTAACTGGAAGGGATATCATTGGAAGCTGCTAGGCCTCCTGCTTTTCCTCATGCCGTGTTGCGTGCATGCACCATATTGGTTCTCAGTAGAGGACGTCAAGAGAAAGAGAAAGGAGAAGACTCGGTAAAGGTTAAGGGTGCGAAGAAAATCCCCTTTCATTTACAGAGTGTCTCGCGTCCATCGCATGACTCATGCACCCCAATAAGTGTGAAGCGAAAGTGAAGGTTGCATAAGTTTGCTGAATATTTCATTCTTGTGAATGTCTCTTAAGGCTCCAGCTCCTCAGTGGGCACATCTTCCAGATCCTTGCCAACAATGGCATCGGAAACCTTCCAAACTTGGAGCAGGTTATCCTCCGCTGCAGAGCAGAGAACCCATGGGTCACTCAGGTTCCAGCTGAAGTCCGAGATACGATTTGTATGGCCACCATGCATGAAGAGACTGTTTTTCACGATTGTTAGAAATGACCCGGGAATGACATCCATGGCACAAAGAAGGAACACTCACAGTTCAGGCGGTCCATCCTGAGCGTCCTCAGGCGTCTGTTCTTCTCCCGCACGGCTCAGATCCCAGAACATAATCTTGCGATCATAACTGGCACTGGCCAGCACTGCCTCTTCGAACGGATGCCAGGAAAGCGAGGTGACGGATTCGTTGTGGCACTCGAGCGAGTGCAATTTAGACTTCAGGTTGCGAAGATCCCATAGACCTACAGTCTTATCTGCCGAGCCCGTGGCCAGGACAGTCTCTGCGGCAGGGTTGAAGGCGATCGCATTGATAGCATCTCGGTGCTGGCCCTCTGCACAGGCTGCCGCCCGCGAGACTTCCGGTTCTCGAATATCGATGATCTGGAGAGTGATGTCATCGGAGACAGTGCCGATCAGAGAGGAGTGAAGAGGATGATGTTGAACATCGTTCACGATAGAGGAATGGTGGGTGTATGTCCGCACCGGCTTGAGAGCCTTGTTACCCTTCGTATACGTGGTCAAATCCCTGAACACATTAGCAAGAAAACAACGACAAGCGGGACTCGAAATCAAGCCATACCAGAGACGAACAGTCTTGTCTTCACTCCCAGTAGCAAGGTGGCCCGCGGTATGCGGACTCCAGCTCAATCCAAAGCCTTCCCTTGTATGTCCCAGCAACTCTAGCTGCGGATTGACATTTCCCGTAGGCAGACTGGGATGCTTAGAGCGGTCCCAGATCATCACCCTGCCGTCCGTGCACATCGTCGCAATGATGTTCGGGTTCTGGGGTTGGTATCGAGCCTTGTTGACCTCGCCTTTGTGGTCGATCTTTTGCACGATGTTGAACTTCACCTCCATAGGAGCCTTCTTGGAGTTTCCGCCGTATCCACCGATCTCACCCCTCTCCTCGTCATAGTCCTCTGCATCAGGAGTCATTGGGTTGGGAAGCTGTACATGGGCAATTTGCAGGTAATTCTGTGCATCGTTCGACGTATGGGTTCCTAATATTAGACGGTGGGTTGAGTAAGGCTTATCGGGGATCCTGGAACTGTGTTAGACGGGAGCTTTCTGGCTCATATGCTGATGGGCGTACTCTTGTTTATCAGGAAGCCATTGAACCGTAAGAGTCGGCCATTCTAGCGCAGTGCTGAGAATCATATCGTACAGGAAGGGTGCATTTTTCTTCCATGTCTTGTACTCTGCAGTCGTGGTTAACAGGCAAACTCTCCTTTGATAAACCCGTAAAGGTCACAATACCTTCGTTGATAATTTTTTCTTCTGTCCGTTCTTCCTCTTGTTCCTCCTGCTCGTCAATGAACCCTGCTGTAATGTTCTTGTCAGAATCGAATTCCGTTAGCTAGGCGCTGGAATCGCACCATCTTCGTAATTATTATCCTTATCCATGGCTGATCGAGCGCACGTGTAGAGCGAACAGAGATCTTGGTAGCTGCGAAAAGTACAGTGTAGCTGAAGAGCACAATCCAATTTGCAAGGACTGAATTGCGGGAAAACTGGTGTTTGATCCGCCGCAAGAGCTAGGCGCGGAGATCCTAGAACATGGCAGCAAAAAGCGTCCCGACGACTACGCGACTCGTTCGCATGAGCAGAGAAGAGCGCGTAAATGGGCAACACTGGCGCTAATCCGCTTTTGGTTAAGGGCTTGGCGCGTTCGTGGCTTCCTGACCCTGCAACTCCCCGGAACGGCGCCACCTTGTTCCGGGAGCTCGGCAGGCGGCGTCAAAGGTGACTGGTCTCCGGAGGCTAAGACGAGCATCCCGTTCAGCTGCCAGACAACGGCGACAACGCCAACGACACGTTTTTCATTTTTCCACTTTTCACGTTCACTGCTCGAATTTCTTTCAGGAATCTTGCTTGTCGAGGGCCCTGTATCTTTGTTTTTTGCCACATTCGCTCTGGGCCTAATGCTTTCCACTCGAGCGCAGGTTTCTTGTTTCTATGTCTGATCGTTGGCGACATTGCCGCACTTGCTTCCCTTGACAGAATTCGCTATTATTACCTTATCTTACAGCAACCATGGGTGTCCCCAAGTTCTTCCGTTGGCTGAGCGAGCGATATCCTGCGATATCGCAGCTCATCGCCGAGAATCGCATCCCGGAATTCGACTGTCTTTACCTGGACATGAACGGCATTATACATAACTGCACACACAAGGATACAGACTCTCCTACCTTTCGCATGACCGAGGATCAGATGTTTATTGCGATTTTCAATTACGTCGAGCATCTGTACGGGAAAATCAAACCTAAAAAGCTCTTCTTCATGGCAGTCGATGGGGTTGCGCCTCGCGCCAAGATGAACCAACAGCGCGCTCGAAGGTTTCGCACAGCTCTGGATGCGGAAGTAGCGAAGGAGAAGGCCATCGCCCAGGGTATAGAGATGCCAAAGGAGGATCCGTTTGACAGCAATTGCATTACGCCAGGAACCGAGTTCATGGCCAAGTTGACTAAGCAATTGAAATACTTCATCAACAAAAAGGTCTCGGAAGATACGGATTGGCAAGGCGTGGATATCGTTCTATCTGGCCATGAAGTCCCGGGAGAGGGTGAGCATAAGATCATGGAATACATTCGTCAGAAGAAAGCACAACCCGGCTACGACCCCAACGTCCGACATTGTCTCTACGGCCTGGATGCCGATCTGATTATGCTCGGGCTTCTTAGCCATGACCCTCACTTCTGTCTTCTTCGTGAAGAAGTTACCTTTGGAAGGCCGAACCAAAAGAAAACAAAAGAGCTGGAGCACCAAAATTTCTATCTGTTGCACCTCTGCATGGTTCGGGAGTATCTGGAGTTAGAATTTCAGGAGTTGAAAGAAAAAGAGATGGGTTTTCCTTTTGACATGGAACGGGTCATCGACGATTTTATTCTTATGGCTTTCTTTGTTGGAAACGACTTCCTACCGAACCTACCGAGGCTCCACATTAACGAAGGTGCATTGGCAGTGATGTTCAAGATATACAAAGATACTCTACCGAAAATGGGCGGCTACATGAATGAGAAAGGCACCATCAACCTTGAACGGTTGGGAATCCTGCTTGATGCTTTGACTGACGTCGAATTTCGATTTTTCGAAGCCGAATACTCGGATGCTAAATGGATTCGGGCCAAGAGGAATGGCGTCGAAACGTTGGAATTGCCGGAGAACCAGAAAACCTTCACTATCACACCCGCGCAGAAGGAGATCTTAAAGGAAGTAAAGAAATATGTCCTTAATCGGCCAGAAAACGTGCGTGACTCGAAACCGTTGGATCTCCCATCCACTCTACCCGCGCGTGACCGCAAATTTGTAGAACAACTTGCAGATGATCTGCGCTTGCGATGGACCACAATCGAGGATGAACATGGTGACCGCTTCATCAGGCTGCAGTTACCTGCAGCGGCCAATGCGGGTGGAAATTCCGAAGGCAGCAATGAAGAAGATGAGGAGGAGGAGGAGGAGGAAGATGAAGAGGCGTCCATGGCGCTCCACCGGGTTATCAAGAAATATGAGAATGCGAAGGTGCAAGAATTCTCTGCGGAGGAAGCAAGAGCTGCGGCCGAAGAGAAATACGAGAAGAAATTCCAGCAATGGAAGAACAAGTACTATGAGGAAAAGTTTGGCTTCAGCCTTGACAACGAAGAGGAGATGAAAAAATTGACGGAAAACTATGTACAGGGCCTCCAATGGGTCTTGTATTATTACTACAGAGGCATAGTGTCTTGGCCCTGGTTCTTTCGATATCATTATTCTCCGATGATTTCTGGTATGTTCGGAAGATTTTCCAGTTTTCTATGACACGACCGTACTGACGAGCAGGCAGATGTCAAAAAGGGTCTTGGTGCGGATATGAACTTCAAGTTGGGCCAGCCCTTCCGGCCGTTTCAGCAACTTATGGGCGTCCTTCCCGACCGCAGCAAGCAGATCGTGCCTCCTGCATATCGTGATCTGATGACATCACCAGAGTCACCCATCATTGATTTTTATCCTCGTGAGTTCGAACTGGATATGAATGGCAAGAAGATGGAATGGGAGGCGGTGGTAAAGATTCCGTTATTGATGAGAAACGCCTCTTGAGCGCGATGGCGACGAGGGACCACTTGCTCACTCCTGAGGAGAGGGAGAGAAATGAGTTCGGTGTGACACTCAAATTCACCTACTCGCCTGATATTGAATTCACATATCCATCATCCCTCCCTGGGATATTTCCGGATATCCCGCATTGCCATTGCATTGAGAACATTTTCGACCTGCCGACAATGGAAGGCTTGGAGCCTTTTATCGGCCTCGTCGAGGGTGTGAAACTTGGCGCAGCTGCACTGGCAGGCTTCCCTTCTCTGAAGACCCTGCCGCATGCTGGCCAGCTGGCCTTCCACGGGGTCAATGTTTTCCAGCAAGACAGTCGTAATGAGAGCATGATCGTTACGATACTTGAGTCGGAAAAGAGGTCAAGCATTGAATTGGCCAAAGAGAAACTTGGAAAAAGAGTCTATGTTGGGTGGCCATTCCTGCAGGAGGCTCTCGTGGTACGCGTTTCCGATGAGCTCTTCGATTACGTGTTGCCTGAAGGAGAACAAAACGTGGTCTCTATTCCTCACTCCCAGCAACAGATCGAGCAGTGGCACAAGAAGGCGGAAAGGATAGAGGGATATTACAGTAAACGACTGGGAATGATTATAGGCCCAGTTGAATCGATGGTGCATGTGCACATGCTGAAAGGCTTGAGGAAGACCGATGAGGGAGCGACGGTGAAGGAGTTCGCAGAAATTCCTGGGCAAGAGACCGACTACGCTCTGCAACTTATTGTGGACCATGTTATCAGCGAAGACGAACGGTTCATCGAACGGGAGGCTCTCCCGATCGAGGAAGAGTTCCCTGAAGGCTCGAGAGCTTTCTTCCTTGGCGAGTACAATTATGGCAGACCGGTGCATGTCATTGGACACGAGAAGGGGAAAGTTAATGGATTGATCGCATCGGTCAAGGGCAAAGAGCCAGAGTTCGGGAAGCTCCATGCGAAAGCTGCTGAGAAGCTATCGCCATATATCCCTTCCTTCGCGATTGCGAAGAGCTTACAACTGAATCCCTTGGTGTTGGCCAAGATCACGTCCTCGTTCTCCGTGATGGTCAACAACCAGCGAGTGAACCTAGGCCTCAATCTCAAGTTCGAGGCGCGGAAACAAAAGGTTTTGGGATATTCCCGTCGCGGAGAGTCTGGCTGGGAATTCAGTCAGAAGGCCATTGATCTGGTCCAGCAGTACATGATCAGGTTTCCCGACTTCATTGCCGGGATTCAGCGGAATCCTCAAGGCGATCGATACGAGCCGACCGATTTCTACCCAGAGGAGATCGCAATGCAGAAGATCAAAGAGATCCGAGAATGGTTGAAGTCTATTGAGGCAAAGAGCTTCGAACGAGTGCCGCTTGATGCCGAGCAACTTGATTCCGATATTGTTAAGCTGATCGAACAGGACGCGGACCGTCTCGTGCAGAGCCAGCCGCCACCAGAAGCGAAGAAGATCAAAGGTGTTCCTCGGGGCGCTCTCCTGAAGCCTTCCGATGTGGAACAACGGCTTGGGAACCAGAAATTCGCACTAGGAGATAGAGTCGTTTATGCGCAGGATTCGGGAAAGGTCCCTATCGCCACACGGGGAACCGTTGTCGGACTCACACGGACACCTCGGACGGTTCTGCTGGATGTCGTGTTCGATGTTTCTTTCATGAGCGGGACCACGCTGGGAGACCGTTGCTCTCCGTTCCGAGGCTCGACAGTCCCAGTATCCTCTGTTCTGAATCTGACAAACAAACAACTGGTTGTCAGCACCCGTGCTGCCGCGGAGCAGCAAGCTCAGAAGCAGAAGACTCCCCTGACAATCCAAGGGTATGGCACACCACTTGGGCCCGGTGGGCAGGGGCAGCTGAGAGAAGCACGGCCTCCTCCTCCACTGAAAGGAACATTCCGTGGTGCTCTTGCGGGACAACAGAATGGCGTTTCTCGAGGGACAGGAGCTCCTCGTGGTCCTCGCGGTGGCCGGGGTGCTGTAAATGGTGCCTCGCTCCCAGTACGACCACACCCCAATGGCACTGGGCAGCCGAATCATGCTGGGAAGCAGAATCAGGATGGGCAGCCGAATCACACTGGGCAGTCGAATCACACTAGGCAGCCGAGTGACGATTCTCATCCTCGTGGGGGACGAGGCCGGGGAGGTCCTGCCAGGGGCCAACGCGGAGGCCGTGGCGGTCAGGCTTACACTCGAGGTGGTTATATTGCTCTCGAAAAAGGGGACCCCGAAGAAGGCGTGGTCAAGAACAACCCCAACTTCAAGCCGCAAAATTACTCCAACGTACCGCCACCTCCAAATCTGAACAGAGGAAGTATACGGGGTGGCAGAGCGGGCGGTGGCCGTGGTGCACCACGTGGGAACGCTCTCAGAGGTGGTAGAGGTGTGCATCGAGGAAGAGGTGCTGCGGTGGCTTCTTAACAGTCTGTCATGAATGATGTCTATGACGTTTTCTTCTGATGCTCATGAGTCATGCTTTGTTTTTTTTCTTTGTTGATTTACGTCATGGTTGTGTTTAGTCATGATACTCCATGAGCAGAGGAATTCGGTTATAGAGACCTGTTATGTTCGGTTGGTATGGGTCTTGCACTGCTATTATTATTGCGTGATGAGGGTTCAACGGTATGGGTTGTGTGTACATAGATACATAACTGTACTTTAGAACCGGAATCACGACCTGAATAAAAAAAATAATGGATTCGCAAGCAACTGCCACAGTACCTGCCTTGCAGAGCGCATTATTTATTGCGCGGGTTTAGCGGACAAGTTTGCCTTGGCAGCAGGCGTTGTAGAGGAATCCATTCAGCCCATACAGATGAGTCATGCTTTTGTTTCCAGCTTCAGTAAAGCTGAGGCTGGCAATAACTGTGTGGGGAAGGACGATGTTAGCCCGCGGGGAACCCCCCGATCTCCACAATCAACAAAATCCGGGGAGCAAGATGTGATCCAACAGGGAGAGATTAATTCAATAATAAGCATTGTGGTTCAATATTGTCCTATCATGGTATTTCCCGCGTCGAGTCTTTGAATAATGGCGAAGAAAAGTCGTACAAGCACGAGGATGGCGGGCGCAGGAAGGACGACTGGCTGGCTGGATAATGCATGGGAATCGCCCCGAGAGCGCTCCCCCGCAAACACGGTGAGCAAGAACAGCGCGAAACCCACTCCGCCAGGCGCGCATGGCAAATCAGATGCCTGCTGCGGGCGTCTAGTCTTTGTAAGTGCATTGCTGTTCGCTTCTCATAATTTACATAATTTAGGTAGCTGGTGTGTGCGGCCAGGGGAATAAAACCACTGCCTTCCCCGGAACGCTCTGCAGGCGGACCAGCATTCCCAAAATTTGGTCGAATCTGCCTTTTCTTTTTTTTTCCCGCCAAGATGGCAGCTGCTGAGGATCCGAAAGCTCGGGAAGGCACCGTGGAAGAGCTGGAAGGAGGCATCAATGTAAGAAAGCCGAACTACTGTTCTTGTCGTGAATCACTTCTTCTGACTTGACTGCTCTGCAAAGGAGAAATCCCCAAGCCACGATGAGACAAGCAATGAGTACCAGCTGGCCGGCAGCGCCAGAGAGCGGGCTCTGGTGTGGAAACAGGACCTGCGCATTGTGCCCCTTGTCTGCGGCCATCTACCTTCTCTGCTACCTGGATCGGTCGAATATCGGTGAGAAGCCATTTCCCACGATTTGAAGATGCAGATTCTTCTCCATTCAATATGATCTTTTTTTCTGTTTCTAACGCCTTGATCAGGCAATGCCAAAGTCCTGAACTCGAGCACGCACAATGACCTCTTATCCGAGACCCGTATGACCTCCTATCAGTATACGTAGGTTGACCTTGCTTTCATTGACGAGCTGTTCTTTGACGTTGCTAGCTAGGATCGCTCTCATGGTTTTTCTGATCGCCTATGCACTCTTTGAAGTCCCTTCAAACTATCTGTTGAAAAAATTGAGGCCCAGCGTAAGTTGCCATCACCACCTGCAGCCATGTTTTAGTAAATATTGACCTATCTAGCGATGGATCGCCTTTCTGATGCTCTCGTGGGGAGCCATCACGATGGGACTAGGCGGCGCACACAACTATGCCCAGGTCACGGGGATCCGGTTCCTTTTGGGGGTCGTCGAGGCTGGTCTCTTCCCTGGTCTGGTCTTTTATCTGACTTTCTGGTATCGGACCTCGGAGCGGTCGATTCGGGTTGCATTGATCCTCGCGTCTGCCACTCTGGCAGGGGCCTTTGGCGGTGCTATCGCCTACGGGGTGGGACATATGAACGAGGTTCGAGGACTGGCTGCATGGCGTTGGCTGTTCATCATCAGGGGGCGTCCATCTTGTGCTTCCGCTTTCCTCGTCTGGTTTTACTTGCCAGACTATCCAGAAACCGCCAGCTGGCTTACTGCAGAGGAGAAGGAGCTTGCCCGACAACGGCTCCGGGTCGAGGGCTCCCAAGGGAGCGCTCGAGCGATGACTTGGGAGGATGCAAAGAGCGTCTTGATGGACTGGCGGCTGTATGCTCACTATGCAGTAGGTTCTCCATCTTCTTCTTCTCCCCCCCTCTCCTTTTGAGATTTGCTAGCCTTACTGGACCACTACTGACGACATTAGGTCTACTTTGGAATTTCCACACCATTTTCTAGCCTTTCTCTCTTCACTCCGTCGATTACTGCCGGATTAGGATATTCGGATCTGCGAGCGCAACTCATGACTGTGCCGCCATATGCTGTCGCCTATGTTGTGACGGTAGCAGTGTCATGGTCTGCAGATCATTTTAACGCGTATGTCCCTGCATTTCATCCGTTTTAAAGATCAAAGGTTCACATTGAGATAGTCGTGGCCTTCACTCTGCCGCATTCTCCTTGATCGGGGCTATGGGCTTTCTTGCTTCGGCCGTATTACCGGCCGATGCCTATCTGGTTTGTCTCTCTCCATCTCGTTCAGACAAAGTAATAATCTGCTAACACACAGGTTCGTTCGTTTAGCACCGCTACGGCTGTCTAATCGTCGCATGCAGCGGGTCATTCGCCTGCATCCCACCGCTCCTAGGCTGGCTCTCTTCCAACCTGCAGACTACCGCGGCAGCCGGACTCGCGATCGCGCTGAACGTCTCGTTCGGGGCCCCGGGTCAGATCGTCGGGGTGTGGATCTACAAGGCGAACGAGGCGGAGAAGGGCTATCCGACAGGGCACTGGACCAACGCTGGATTGCTCCTTTTCGTCTGTGCGGGGTGCATCGTCTTGCGCGTGTATTATGCGTGGATGAATCGGAGACGGGCGGGGTTGGCTGATGTCAAGCCGTATGCATATTAATGGGCAAAAGGTCGTTAAGCTAGATTTCTCTCAGAGGAGTAGTAGACAGAAACTGGTATAGATTAGTAGAATTTTCTTTCTCCTCTTAACTTAGATAGCAGATTGATCTGCTGTCGGGTCTGGGCTAGGGTTAGGGCAGCCACCCGCCGGATTCTTCTCGTCTAGAGTCAAGATCCAGGAGCAGCTAGCTTATCTAGCTGATCTGATCTGGACTGGTTGGAAAGGTAGTCTATTACTTCGCAGGCGGGCTTCACGCCCATATATTCCTTTAACCAAGCCATAATAAAGCCATAATCGACACCGTCTCTTACAAAAGCACGTGACAGGATGTAAAAACAGGAGTCACGTTTATAGTGGTAATAAGAGGTGATGGGTAGTATGATTAATATTCTCCTGCAGTCGCAACCGCGATACCCGCACCATGCAATGGAGGCATTGATTATTGCAGGGTAGGACTAGTATGCAGCAGATGCTGCTAACCCCGGATTTTAAACTAGCTGCATTCCGTGCCAGTTTCTACACTCAAGGGATACAATATCTACATCACCGGAGGATGCCCTCAGGATGGTCATCTGATTAAATAACGGCAGTAGGTAAGCAAAATCTCCGAAGATAAGAAGAACCCACTCTTATCTCAACTGTGGGATTCTGCACGCTCGAGAAGGATTATTACTGATTAGTAGTCGGCATTCGGACCACGGGTTCTGCTTCTGCTTTTCCCCACATGGGCCGTGCGTGACAATCTCCTGGACTAAGACTAAATCCCTTCTTATCTGGTTGCCATTGGCAGCGCCAGCATCTTGCATCGCCTTGCGACCGGGATTTCCGGTTGCCTTGGATCTGTCCTGACTGGACAGGTGAGCCCTGTTTCACACCGCTAGTATATAGCATTGAATATTGCTTCAGCGAATTCGTAGTTCCATAGCTGGACATAGTATTCCGTACTGAGAGGACAGTGCACCCGTAACTAACCGCAGAAGGATCATCAAGCTGTCCTGGCATCACCGGAAACGGGAATGCGAGGACGATAAGGCGTGTCGATCCTATAGGCATTTAATATCGGGTGATTTGGTTCCTGATTGTTGTAAGGATCTCGCAAGCGCCGTGGCCGCGATTAATCGGATGCCTGCAGCCCGACCAGCCGATCGTGCCTTCCTGCTTGTCGTCTCATATCTGAGGCGTGCTTTCCGTTTTGGTTGTCAAGCTGTCCCCGCTCCGTCGTCGCTGCCAAGCAGTGAATAAGAATATCCATCTTCTGCTTCTCTGCCCTCGTCGCCCCCGAATGACGGTGGACGGTGACGACTGTCCCTGCCTCGCCACAGTCGGTGCCACAGCACGGATCTCGCATCCTATCTACTCCGTCCAAGACCGTGACTCAGTCAGGTACCCTGCGCGCCAGTCCGCTGGTAGTGTGCATGGCTGATCGACCCTCCGTCTGCAGGGTGTTTTTCGGTGGGCCAGCCAGCTTGGACGAGGCAAACTCGTGGGCGGACCTGCTGCTTATCAGCCAGCGTCGCCAACCAACTGCTTGCGGCGATCTCTCTTCCTGATAGCCAAGTGGGACTGCCGTATTCATTCTACGAACCACTCAGGGGGGCAACGACGAAGAGAAAATTTTCGCGGGGAAGAAGCACCACAAAAGGCGAACGGCAAAAAGAAGCCAGGAAAAAAAAGAAATAAAAAAAAATCTCACACGACAGAAATAAAAGAAACGACAGGAATCCAGGATCACTCTTCTCTCCGTTCCTTTTTTTGTCTTTTTCTCTCCATCCTCGTTCCACCGACCCACCCCGCCGTCTCCGCTCCCGAGCGGATACAAGAGAGAAGAGTCATACTCGTGCTTGCGACTCGGGTTGACGCCATGAGTCCCTGATGTTGCCATTTCTCTGCCCTCATTCCTGCTGTCTGATTTTCTTGCGCAATTGTCTCTGTTTCCTGTGCACTCCAATCATCGACTCGTCAATGTTCCTGGCCTTGTTTGCAGCGCCAGTCACCTGAAGGCCGTCTGTGTCAGCTCATTCCGCGGGACGATGTCGTAAGGGTTAAGCTGAGTGTATAAGAAAAGAGCATTGGTTTTGCAATTGCTTGCAACAGTCAATGCCTGGAAGAGAAAGAAAGAAAAACGACATCGCGATACCATTCCTACCATCCGCCCGCATCGCGGATTCTGATTGCTCGGCCATTCGAACCCTGTTCCAGCGTCTGCCACGACATCTTGCGTCTCTCCACCTCGTCTGCGAACTATAATCAGGGCAGGTGCCAGTTCACTCGTACCCCTGCAGATCTGTTTGTCGACACGGCTCTCCTTGCCCTATAAAGCACTGTCTCACCTTGAATGATTTATGCGCTGTGCACAGTACGCTGAACCTGCTCTACAATGGAACAGCCATTGTCTCTCATATCTGCCCAAGTCCATTTCACGGTATGTCATATCTCGTCTCACACATTGATGTTCCTGGTTTCCGTCTGTAGTAATATTTATCCTGTCACACTTTTATTTGCTTAAACTCGAAATACTACTTGATGCTGACCTCTCTCCAGGACGACCGGCTAACTCTGGTTCATATTCCGCTGGATCTGTACCCATTTTTCGTCCAACCGATCCTGCGTCTCCTTTTCAACGACGTCCCGGCCATCGATGACCATGACGTGGTCGAGGACGAGCCTGCTCCTCCTAGTCAGGGCTTCCTCAACCTCTCGCTAACGCCAGTCGAGTGTTCGGTTGTATGCTCCCGGCATCTGGCCGAGAAATACTTTGTACCCCTGGCCAGCAAATTCAACAAGCTTGCCCCTGAGACAGGGAGCCGAGTCTCGGTCAGCAAAGACGACTTCATCGTCATGCAGGTCGACGGCCAAGGCTTGGATGCTGGTCAGCGGGTCTTGGAATTGACCAGTCCGCTGGCAATGGCGGGAATGTAAGTATCATTTTCTGTTGTCACTTGGAACTGCATACTGACGGCCACAGCTCCATCTTCTTTATCTCGACGTACTTCTCTGACTACATCCTCGTGCCGTCGCGCTCCAAGGAACAAGTCGTCCACGCCTTGGAGAAACGAGGTTTTACATTTGAGGTCAACTCGGACGCATTCGTCAACAACCTCCAGTCTCATTTCTACCCCACGTCTCCCCGGACCGCGCCCACACAGCACTCTCCTCCAGCGACGCCCCCACCGTCCTCTCTGTCGGAGCTGCAAACCCGCACCTTCGCGTCATTGCGAAGACACAACATCGTTCCCCGTGTCGACAGGAGTCTTCGCCTGGTCCAATGCGCCGCCCACCATCGCGATCGATCTGATGTGACGTCGTCTTCGATCCTGCGCCCGGCCCTCACGACAGCCCTTCTGGTGGACCGGCCGCGCTTCTTATCATTGACCCTCACGCCGGCAGACCCCGCTGCGTCGATCCTCCTGGAGAAGCGTCTCCTTCCGCGCTTCTCGTCGGATCCGACCTTGGGTACCGCTGCGGATGAAGAAAGCAGCGTGTTACTCGGGTCCAAAGAGGATATCCTCGTCCCGATCACGCTGGACCTGCGCGATCTGCCACTGGAAGCTACGGGAATAGTGTGCGGCGTCGCGGGGCGCCTTGCGGAAGCCACGCACTCCCGCGCAGATAATAATCCCAGTGGCTCCCCGTCGCCAATCCACGGTGCCAAGCGGTTCTCCTTTGATTCAGGCGCCGATACGTCACAGCTCTCCTCTAGTGTGAGCAGCATCGCGGTCAGTACGTCGTCCAAAACCGACTTCCACTCACCGACGAACGACCACCCTCTTTCCCAGTCGTTTCATCGCCTCGAACCCGAACCGAATTGGTACCCGGATGCGGTCGAGATCAGCTTTTTGAGCACGGCACGCGCGGGGACCGTTCTGGTCGGGGAACGAGAACTCGATCGTGCTGTCGAGGCCTTGGATGCTGAGAGTCGGGAGCCAGACCCTGTCTTCAGTCCGACACTTGCTTAGGTCGTTTTTCTTTTTCGTCTGCATCAGCAAAAACCAAGCTCATCTACTTTCATTTCGGGCTATAAAAAAGCAAAAAAGGGTCATTACAAAAAAAAAAAACAGCATTTTCATTGACCAGGATGAACAAAAAGGCATAATCTCTCTCCATTCCCCTCGATTTCTATCATCATCATGATACTACTTATCTGTCTTGCAGCGAGGAGATCTTCATTCTCCCACCCAAAAGTTTGTTTGCTTTTTTTGCTTGCCTTTTTTTTTCCGGGTCCTCACGTGTGACTGCATGCTGCATGGTCTGGTATGATGTTCTACTATATGACACGATACGTTATGTTATGATTCTTGCTTGTTGCATGTATCTGCACTGCATGGTTGGTCGGAGTGGTCTGTTGGCTTGGCGAGATTGCGAGCATTATTGACGGACTGATTTTCTTTCATGCTCTCGTGCGTGTTGATTGGGTGAGTGAATCACGGCATCTATGTTAGGTATGTACATAGGTATCTATCCTTTGATATCTTGGAGACCTTATCACATAGAGCATTAATGTATATATGCATGCATGTATGTATGCAGGTCTGTATATATGTATGTACATGACAGAAAGAATACATGAACAGGACAGAGGATGAATTTCCTCCATCTGAATAAAAAAAAATCAAATCCACACTCCCAATTGTGCTAACACTATTCACTCCGCCTCGTACACATACAGCGTAGAGTTATGCTGATCAGGCAAAAAGTACAGCCTCAACTTGCCATCGACCACGGCGGCATCGACGGGATTCTCGGTCAGGCTCACTCCCAGATCAGAGGTCAGCGCCATGGGGACTTCCCACAGCGGGAGCATCGACTCGAGATCGACGAGCGCGAGCCCGCCCAGGTTGAAGTTGGTGCCGATGGTGGCTACGCCGCCGCAGAGCATGATCGGTCTTTCTTCGCTCTTGCTGTTGCTGTTGCTGTTGCTGTTGGTCTGCGTCTTGACGAGAGCGCTGGGCACGGCGTGGTGGCCCAGGAACTTGCAGTCCTGGTAGTCGACGTAGAAGCTTGGGTTGGGCACGGCGCGCTGTGGCGGCGTGAACCCCGGCAGCGGCGTGAAGCCGCGCGGGTAGTCTTTCAGCGACCAGGCCGTGGCGTTGCGGGCGCCCCAGTTCAGCGTCACCAGCTCGTCGGTGACGGTGTCGTGGATGATGCCGCCGTTGTGGTCGTGCGTGCGGAAGAGCCGCGTCTGCTCGAGCGTCAGCGGGTCGATGCGCGCGATCGTCGCCGTCGTGTTGGGCCGGTACTGCGCCAGCGTGATCCAGATGTACCGCCCGTCGTAGTCGATCCCGCCGCCGTGGTACTCGATGTCGCCCGGGTCGGTGAGCGTCGCGTTGGCGATGCGTCGCCCCTGGCCGTCGTAGATGACCATGTGCGCGAACCCAGCCCCGGGGGTCCGGTCGGTGCCGTTGATGGTGCCGTTGTAGTGCACTGTCGGCACCGTCCACTGGCCGGACGACAGGAAGAAGCGGTCGTCGCCGACGCGCGCCATGCCCTCCGGCTCGCCCGTGTCGCCTTCAAACTTGGTCTTGGAGACGAGCTTCCATGTCGTCGAGCGACTGAGGCTCAGGAAGAGCTCGACAATGGAGCCGCCGTCCGACGTTGCATGGGAAGGCGGGAGCTGGTTTCCGGGGACGAAGGACTCATTTCGGTAGATGGTGATGTTCGACGACGCCGCGCTGGAGGCGACGAGCGCTCCTGCCAACAAAAGGCGAAAGAGATGCATGATGACGACAATCCACAGGACTGTAGAGATGAATGCTTGAGACGATCATCGAAGCAGGGCAAGACCGGTCTTTTATAGCACCCGCGGGAGCTAGAGCTCAGGCATGTCATATGCGGACCCATGGGCCCAGAGAGCCCGTGGCTCTGCTGGTAGGCACCCGGGGGTATGGTAAGGCATTAAAGCGGAGACAGCTCATGCTAGAAACAATTAATAACGCGCTCAGCAAGCTTTGTTTGTGGCCTTGCAGTGAGGTTTCGAGAAAACAACGGTTCTTGGCGGGCGACGCTAAGAGCCGCCGTAGCAGAACACGTTACTCGGATGCGCGCCGCCGTTGGTCAATGCTTCAGCATCCGGGAGTCCCGTCGATATATTATTTCACCACGGCATTCAAAGCTCAGTTGCGCTACCGGGAACCACAAGGCGTACTGAATCGGGTATACGACGGCTCCGATGGCATCGATGCTGTGGCCCTGCGACAAATGTCCGGAAGGACACGGCTGAACGGTTGGTGGCTTCGTATATAGGAAAACTTAACTGTAGACTTTAACGGTGCCTGGAACAACATCATGTTAGCGCTGTTCTATGACAGTAGATATGGCAAACTCACCGTCTGCGCAGGCACCTGCCCAGCAGCCTCCCTTCTCATTCCAGGCAACGCAACTGACCACCTTGACGCCTAGACCGGCGGGAACCGTAGCGATGATCTCGCCGCTGAGGACATCCCAGGCAAAGACAGCCGCCTGGACAGAACTCTTGCTTTTCCCATCCATATCCGCAGCCTCGCTTCCACTGAGGACGGCAGAGTCCGCTTTTGCGAAGACGGAGCGGATTCTCAACGCCTTGTTCTGGTACCTGGCCTCGAAACCTCCGGGGCCTTTTCCGACCTGCTCCTCTCCCCCAAAGGCCTTTAGCAGTCGTCCATCCGCCCGGTCGAGCATGCGGATTCGCCCGTCCAGACTGGACACGAGAACCGCATTCCCGTCCGCAGAGCAGCGCACGCTCGTGACGGGGTGCGCAACGACGTCCACGGTCGTGCGACCCATGCGGATATCGTAGATACGCACCCGGCCGTCATAGCTGCCGCTGGCAATCGAGTAGGTCGGCATGTGAACATGCAGAGAGGAAACGGTATCGGTGGCTTCGGTCAGCGTCTGGATAGGCTTGTAGGAATTGGACTTGCAGTCCCAGAGGTTGATCGTTGTATCTGCGCTGCCTAGTAGTAGGGAAGGAATGTTAGCACGTAGCCTCACTTACGTACATAAAGGATCAAATGACGAAAAAAAAATCAAAGGAAAAAGCAAAATATTGAGGGAGTCAGCTCACCTGATACCACAACGGCATCTCCCTCCCCCGCAAACTGCACCGCTTCAACCCGACTCGAATGCCCCGACCATCGCCTCACAGTCGCTCCCTGCTCGACATCCCACAGAAAGACCTGCCGATCTCCTCCCACACTGGCAAACCGCGAATTGTCCGCCGCGACCGCAATGTCTAGCACCGAGTATCCGTGGGCTTCATACTTCTGGATCGGCGAGGTGGTTTCGACGATCGAGAGGGCATTGGAGGTAGGCAAGGCGCGCGACAGATGGATGGCGCGGTCGGACGAGCCACTGAGCAGGTAGGTACCTGGATAGCTAGAGAAGGTGACGGTGTTCACGGGGCCTGAGACGTGGTGCTCCTGTCAGCTTTATTTTTATCCTTCGAGACTGTCGACGGCAAAAGAGTTACCATTGTGAGTTTTGAGTGTATGCACGTGTCGATTTGGAAAACGGCCTGCGGTTTGCATGGCAGGCAAGCAAGAGCGTGGTTATCTGGATATTTTAGAGCTGGAAACCAGTGGTGGTGGATTGATTTATTTATTGCCGGGTTGAGAATGCGGCGTTCACGACGTAGTTGGAGCTTCTGGGTGGAGCTGCGGCGGTACCAGCCCGAGATGCTCCAAGCCCCAATTCAGAGGTAGAGCGTACTAAATCCTACAAGCATTGCTACCAGACAACGCAGTTTCTGCAGACTAACAAAGGAAATTAAAATTGCATTGGCACGCTACAACACAAGAAAAAGGATATTATGTAATATCTGAAGGTAGGAGCCATCTATAGGTTATCGGCGGTAGATACCAAATGAAAGCAGCCACCGACGCAACCTCCGGCCAGGCAAACTAACTGAAGTTCGGAAAACGTCCAGTACTTTTGGTCCGCTCATGGAAGAATGATCACAATAACGAAACCGGGGTAATCAAGAAACGAAAAGGGTGTCGACTCGCTGCGGAGCCGCTGTAATCCGCCATACCATTCGACTTAGAACCGCCATCAACCGCTGAGCACCTTCTAACGACGGCCATGGCTGCGGGCCGAGCCCTGCATCTGCTCGAGTTCTTGCTCGAGTTGTTTGATCCTGTGCCAAGTCAGCGGAGAAAATCGACACCCAGGGCAAATCGCTGGGGACATACGCAGCATGAGTGGCCTCCAGATCCTTGTTGAGGCGGTCTCTCTCGGCAATGAGCTTCTGCTCCCACTGTCTGAATCGCTGCTCCTCGATCTTGACCTGCTCCGTGAAGCGCTTGCGCAGGTTCTCTTCCTCTTCCTTGAACTTCGGGTTGTCCAGCTTGCGGGGCCGCGCCTCGCCAAACTTCCTCGTCTCCATCTGTTGCGCACGGTACGCCTCGTAGTGCTGCTCCTCGGTGGTGTGGATGAGGTCGAGCATGTGGGTACGGATGAGGAGGGAGCGGAGCTTCTTGAAGTCGCAGTGGTCCTCGTTCTCCACCTCAGCAACACCCCAGATGTACTGACGGCCCTTGACAACCTTGCCCTCGCTGTTCTTGACGTCCTTCTCCGAACCAATAACGGCGAAGGGCATAGCGGCGATCAGGCTGCGGGCGTGAGCCGCAGCGTGTTCATCGTCCTCCTCGATCGGAGGCTGGTAGATCTTGATACCCTGAGCATCAATGACAGCACGAATCTATTCAAGTCAGCATCGAGAGCTGAAAGAGATCACCGGGGCCATGCTTTACCCTCTGCTTGAATCGAGCCAGGTCAGCAGGGCTGAGAGTGTCAGCCTTAGCAATCACAGGGATCAAGTTGACACGAGAGCTGAGGCGCTTCATCACTTCAATGTCGAGCGGCTTCAAGGTGTGTCCAGTCGGACGGATGAAGTAGAGACATGCGTGCACACGCAGGTCGATCTTGTCCGTACGGCGGGGCTGCTGCTCCTGAAGCATGTAGGACTCATGCTGGTCGTCCAAGAACTCAATGATGGGTTGCCACGAGTCACGGTTGTTGACATAGTCGCCAAATCCAGGGGTATCAATGACAGTCAAACGGACTGACAGGACACATGAGGTCAGCAACATGACACCAGTCACTGCTCAGGTCAGTGATTGTACCTTTGAAGAACTTCTCCTCCAGCTCTGCCTTTGTGATCTCAATCTCGACAGTCTTGTCAACCTGCTTGGCATGTCGCTTCTTGTGGTCGGCGTAGTTCTTGATGGTGGTGGAGAACAGCGTGTTGATGAAGGTGGTCTTTCCCAACCCAGACTCTCCCGCAACCTGCTTTTGTCAGCGGTTTCAGCCAGCACGCATCAGAGGTGAATGGGAGCCCACCATGATCGTGAAAGCGGCTCCCCGCTTTGCGACAATCTTGTGCCTGGTGCATCAATCAGATCTTCGATTCCCACCTTTTACATCAACTGCGGGTGGAGCTCGTAAACATACCGCTGGTTGGGGAGCTAAAGCAACAGTCATTGTTAGCAACAGCCACTTGAATGACACCAGAGACAGGAAGATGGCAGTGAGCTGGAAGAAACTGATGACCTACATTGGCAATGCCAATCGGCGAGGCGGTTTCAGTTGTAGGGGCCATGGCTACGTCGGTCTGGCTCTGGAATGTTCCTCAAAAACAGAAGCAGCAGCAGCTTCGCGGGGAGTCCAACCCGGGCGTGGCAGCTGAAGGGAGGGGATAGATGACCCAGCAGGGGCAGGAGAGGCACAAGCAAGGGAGATGGGCAACAACAGAGATGAGGAGAACAGTAGGCCAGTGAGCGTGATGCCTTTGCCAGTGCTGGGCAGTTCTCTGCTTTGGAGCCCCTGAACGCGGGTGGAGCCAGCATCGAGCCTCTGCCAGCGTCAAGCGAGAGACAAAAGCGCGTTAGCGTCGGCAGCACTAGGCCCCGGACCGCGCTTGCCCTGACTCGGCCTAGCGCCGGAACATCCTGTGTCGGCCTCGGATTAACTGTCTTATCGGCACGCCAGCAAAAGCATCAGGAAATTTTTGAGCGCGCGAGCGTGCGCTGTTCGTGCGGGCACCTGCGAGGACGATGAAGACGGATTTCAAGGTAGGCGCCTATGTTCCTGCTGCTGCGGATGAGCTGATGTTGAAAAATGTCTAGTTTTCCAATTTACTGGGGACCGTCTATCGCAAAGGGAATCTCCTCTTTACTCCCGACGGGACCTGCTTGCTCTCCCCAGTGGGCAACAGAGTCACTGTTTTCGACCTTGTAAAGTATGTCTTCTGCCGGGATTTTGGTTTCTCTTTCACCTTTATTCGGCATCGCTGACTAAAGTTCTTGCCCAGCAATAAATCCTGGACTCTTCCCTTTGCCCACCGCAAGAACATCGCCCGACTAGACCTCACTTCCCGGGGCAATCTTCTTCTTACTGTGGACGAAGATGGCCGCGCCATCCTGACCAATTTCCGGCGGCGGATCGCCATCTACCACTTCTCCTTCAAGTCCCCTATTAGCGCGCTCAAATTCTCTCCCTCTGGCCGGCATTTCGCAGTAGGCGTGGGTCGCCGACTCCAGATCTGGCACACGCCGTCCGCTCCAGGGACGGACGGCAATGGAGAGATTGAATTTGCGCCATTCGTCCTACATCGCGACCTTGCCGGTCACTTCGACGTGATTCAAAATATCGAATGGTCGAGCGACTCGCGATTTATCCTCACCGCGTCAAAGGATTTGACCGCGAGAGTGTGGAGTTTGAACCCTGAAGATGGATTTGAGCCTACCACTCTCGCGGGGCATCGCTACGGTGTCAAGGCGGCTTACTTCAGCGCAGACCAGGAAATTGTAAGGCGATACCGTTGAAACCGTCATGGGCAATTAGCTTACTTTGGGCAGATCTACACCGTCAGTCAGGACGGCGCACTATTCCGATGGGAGTACGTCGGAAAGGAGACGGACGGGGAGGAGAGTTCTGATCTCCGATGGAGAATCGTCAAGAAGGACTTTTTCATGCAGAATGATGCCAAACTGAACTGCGCCGCCTTCCACGCACCCTCCAATCTCCTAGTCGTCGGCTTTTCGAACGGGATTTTTGGCTTATATGAGCTGCCCGAATTCAATATGATCCACATGCTGAGGTATGTCAAATTTTACACTAGGTAATATGGAACGTGAAAGGCTGACGGTGATTAGTGTATCGCAAAGCAACATTGACTTTGTCACGATCAATAAGTCCGGAGAGTGGCTGGCATTCGGCTCCTCCAAGCATGGACAGCTGCTGGTCTGGGAATGGCAGTCGGAATCCTACATCTTGAAGCAGCAGGGGCACTTGGACTCGATGAACTCTCTGGTGTATTCTCCGGACGGGCAGCGGATCATCACCACGGCCGACGATGGCAAAGTCAAAGTGTGGGATGTGACGTCTGGTTTCTGTGTCGTGACGTTCACCGAACACACTAGTGGAGTGACAGGGTGTCAGTTTGCCAAGCGGGGAAATGTCCTGTTCACGTCATCGCTTGATGGATCAGTCCGAGCGTGGGATCTCATCCGGTATCGAAACTTCCGTACCTTTACGGCTCCTACCCGACTATCCTGGTCTTGTGTGGCGGTCGACCCCAGTGGTGAGGTGGTCTGCGCCGGCTCGATTGATTCATTCGATATCCACGTCTGGTCCGTGCAGACGGGTCAACTGCTGGATCGACTCGCAGGTCACGAGGGACCGGTGGTGTCAATGGCATTCTCCGCAGACGGCAGCCATCTGATCACTGGCAGCTGGGACCGTACCGTCCGAATATGGAGTATTTTCGGAAGGACGCAGACCAGCGAGCCTCTCCAGCTCCAGTCGGACGTTCTGAGCGTGGATTTCAGACCCGACGGGAAACAGATTGCTGCGTCGACTCTCGACGGCCAGCTAACTTTCTGGTCTGTCACCGACGCAACCCAGCAGGGTCTGATCGACGGCCGCCGCGACGCGTCCGGTGGACGGAAGATCACTGACCGACGGACGGCCGCCAATGTCGAGAGTACGAAATCCTTCAATACGATCAAATACAGCGCCGACGGATCCTGCCTTCTGGCGGCTGGAAACACCAAGTATATTTGCTTGTATGATGTTGGAACGGGGTCGATGGTCAAGAAATTCACCGTGTCGGTGAACACGTCGCTGGAGGGCACGCAGGAGTATCTCAACAGCCGCAACATGACTGAAGCGGGGCCACGAGGTCTGATCGATGAGACGGGCGAGGCGTCTGATCTGGAGGACCGGATTGATCGGACCCTTCCGGGTGTGAAGCGTGGCGATGCGGCTGCTCGCACCACACGGCCGGAGGTGAGAGTTTCGGCAGTTGCCTTCTCGCCGACGGGGCGTTCATTCTGCGCGGCGTCGACGGAGGGTCTTTTGATCTACAGTCTGGACACGGAATTCGTCTTTGACCCGTTCGACCTGGACATCACGATCACGCCAGACACGATTCTCGACACCTTGCAGGCTGCGAAACAGTCCTCATCCTCGACGTCGACGGATGCTGACCAGCCATCGTTCCTCAAAGCGCTCATCATGGCTTTCCGTCTGAACGAGGCGCCTCTCATCCGGCAGGTCTATGAAGGAATCCCGCCGTCGGACATCCCGCATGTCGTTCGGGCCCTTCCGACGGTGTACCTTCCTCGTCTTCTCCGGTTTGTGGCCAACTCGACGGACGAGACACCGCATCTGGAGTTCAACCTGCTCTGGATCACGTCGCTGCTCAGCATTCACGGTCGGTACTTGAAGGACAACTCGGGCACGTTCGCACCGGAGCTGCGTGCCGTGCAGCGAGTCATTGACGAGATCCAGGCCAGTCTGAAGCGGCTGTCGGAGCGGAACCTGTACGAATTAGATTATCTCCTGTCGAAGCCCGTGCTGGCGGAACAGAAGAGCAACGGGGTCCAAAAGATCGACGAAAGCGGACCTGCGGTCGACCAGGAGATGGAAGACGCCGACGGCGACGCTAACGATGATGCTGATGGCGATGGCGGCGATGACGGGGAGGAGGAATGGATTGGGCTTGAGTAAGGGTGGTCCTGTTGCATTCTGTGTCTATAGAATATCTGGCGTTCTTGTTTGAGTTGGATACCTGGGGTGGGTTCTCAAAAGTCGATCGCATTGTATTTCCATTGTATATAGAGATGGATGGATGACGAGAAAAGATAAAAGAGGGTTTTGAGCCTTGTATTAGCGATTCTGTTCATGTCTTAACCAGACCATGCCTTGTTGTGTAGGTCCCTAGACAGGTACTCTGATAGGCCGGACGGACAGTGGGAAGCTTCCCCGCATCCGACGCCATCCACGGTTGAAGCAGTCATTAATTACCTTAGGTAGGTAATTCTGAAGAAAGGGACAACCGAATCATACGAGGCCCTAAACAGACGAGCAAGACTACAGATTCATTTCTACGGTTGACGCTGTTGAGCGGTGCGTCCAGCTGATGAACGCACTAATTGCATCGGACCAAATTATCCGGATGGATCTTGGCTTTGACGGTATGAAGCCATGCGTTTAGCAACAGTGCTAATTAATAGATCGAGCCATGGCCTCCACCGTCGCTCCTTCTTGTCTCAAGTGCCCACGGAGTGTAAATATTTCTTAATATTTTTGTATATCTTTGATTGCTTTTCTCCGTTCTGTCTTTTGTCATATTGAATGATTGATTGTTAGTACTGTTTATCTCGCCATGGCGACGGGGTATTTCTCATATCTCCGCCTGAAGGCAGTTGCCGTTGTGCTGCGCCTGCTGATGGGAGGCGCCTTCTTCTTCCGGCGTCGCCTCGAGAGCGCCCGGTACGCAGGGAAGCAGCGACTGAAGATCCCGTCGCGCGACCCCGGCCGGCACATTGCTGCAGAACTGCACCTTCCCGAAGAAACGAAGTCTCCCACGCCCGTCCTGATCAACTGGCACGGCAGCGGCTTCGTCCTGCCGAACCTGGGCAACGACGCCGCGTATTGTGCGCACATCGCCCGCACGACGGGGATCGCCGTCATCGACGCTGACTATCGCAAGGCGCCGGAGAACCCGTTCCCTGCGGCGCTGCACGACGTCGAGGATGTCATCTGCTGGGTGGCCAGCCAGCCGGAGCGGTTCGACGTCGACCGGATCGCGCTGTCGGGCTTCAGCGCGGGCGGCAACTTGGCCTTGGTGGCATCGTCATCATCATCATCATCATCATCATCATCCCTGAAGGAGCGATTGTCACGGTCGATCGACATCAAGGCCGTCGTCGCCTTCTACCCGCCAACAGACCTCTCCATCGCTCCTGAGGCCAAGAGAGCGCCCAAGCCGCGCCGTCCGATCCCAGCCCGCATGTCGCGCCTCTTCGACGCGTGCTACGTCCCGGACCCGGCGAGCAGGAAGGATCCCCGCGTCTCGCCGTCGTACGCGGAGAAGGGGGCTTTTCCAGGGACGGTGGTCATCATCACCTGCGAGGGCGACACGCTGGCGCCGGAGGCGAATGCCCTGGCAGAAAAGCTCAACGACGGCAGTCGTCGAGTGGTGCATCGCCAGCTGAACGATGTCGGGCATGCCTTTGATAAGATGGGCAAGGAGGGGTCGCAAGAACGCAAGATGCGAGATGAATCGTATGCGCTGGTGGGGGAGGTTCTGAGGGAGGTGTTGCGCATGGCATAGCAGTTCGACATGGACAGGACAGACTGTGTAGGGTGGATTTTGTTTATTGATATCCTGTTTCGTGTTCATACATAGTACTTCAACTAGCAGAGATTTCATTTGCTTTCTGATCCTAAACTTAACATTCAATTGAAATGTGTTCGATAGCAAGGTCCTTGCATTACACTACTCGTCAAAACCAATCGAATTCGAATAGAGAACTTTCCCTCAGCTGCAATGATCGTAGACTGTTTAGGTATACAGTAGTAAGTAAGGTACTACAGTAAACCGCTAGTAACAATGACAATATGATTGGCCAGCCAATTCAAACTCCTCCTCCATATAACCTTTTTCCGGGGTTATATTCAGCCGTTTCGTTAAAACCAAGTTCTCGCAGACGGAGGAATTCCGATGTCTTTTATTTTATCCCTCGGGAAGAATCCCGAAAATAGAATGAACTACGGAGTAACTATTACCTAGACCATCGTGATGGAGATCAACCCCGCGTGGGGTAAAGAAGCGTAAGCACGCGATGGACGTCAATGTCGTCTATTATCTACCTAGGTAGGTTATGCATATGCACTTACCCTCCAGCACAACACAGACTTTGGTGTATACACCTTATTTTGTATACTTAGTCGTATATACTTCGAATCAATACTTACCATGTCCATCCAACTCCCCGACTTCGACCACCTCACCCTCGATCCCTCCGGCCCCAAGGGCAACGCCTGGGGCCTCTTCGGCAAGGACGACCAGCTGGGCATGCTGAACCTGCTGACGCCCGAGGTCGTGGCGACCGCCGCGCGCGAGGAGATCCGCGAGGGCCTGCGCTTCTCGCTGGACTGGGAGCTGGACCGTCTCGCGCAGCCGGCGTTTGGGCGGCAGGTGTTTGAGCGCAAGCTCGTGCACAAGGCGCCGCGGACGGTGAACGATGATATTGTCACGTTCAATACGCAGTCGAGTACCCAGTGGGATGGGTTTAGGCATTATGGTAGTAGCTTTCCTAGTTGTTTTGTGGCTGGATAGAATCTTTCTAATGATTTGCACAGCGAATCAGGAGCATAAGGTCTTCTTTAATGGGCATAAGCAGCCGGATCTGGAGAATAGTCTTGTGCTTGGTATTGACGGTGAGTTTAATTCTTCCTCATCTTATTTATAGTTGCGTTCTCGATCACTATTCATCCGGCCTGATGAATATCTACTAAATGTACATACCTCTGCTAATATCCTCCAGCATGGGTCAAACGCGGCGGCATCGTCGGCCGGGGCGTGCTCCTCGACTACGCCGACTGGGCAGATCGACACAACATCCCAATCAAGCCGTTCGAATCGAGCATCATCCCGCTGGTGACGCTGAAGGAGATCGCGCGCGAGAACGGCATCACCTTCCGGCCCGGCGACATCCTCTTCGTGCGCAGCGGCTTCACGGCGGCGTACGAGAAGCTCTCCGTCGAGGAGGCGCGGGCGCTCGGCCGCCGCGAGTCGCACGACTTTATCGGCGTCGAGTCCGGCGAGGACACGCTGCGCTGGCTGTGGGAGAACAAGTTCGCGGCCGTCGCGGGCGATGCGGTGGCCTTTGAGTCCTCCCCCGTTACGGGCCCGCAGATCCCGCAGGATTACTCGCTGCATCAGTGGTGTCTGGCTGGCTGGGGCATGCCGCTGGGAGAGATGTTCTATCTGGAGGAGCTGGCGGCGTACTGTCGGGAGAAGAAGCGGTGGACGTTTTTCTTGTCGAGTGTGCCGTTGAAGGTAGGCCACTGATTCTAACGGTGTATCGTATTCTTACTGATGGCTTTTTAGGTCCCTGGTGGAGTGGCCAGTCCTCCGAATGCGATTGCCATCGTGTAGGCAGGACCTGGTGTATATATGTAGTATGGCAGGATTCAATGAATGTTAATTATTTTTGCAAGTCACGAATGATCAATTATCTCTGAATTGAGAGATTTTAGGAGTTACCTACGATGTACATACATAACCCCAGAATTACCTTAGTGAGTTCGATCTGGTACATTCCTAGATACCGGATACGGAAAATATATTCATTGACTAAAGCTGTGGAACCATATTGCTCTTAAAAACGTTACGAACTCCATTTGGATCAGCATTAAAGTATCAGTTTCCTTCTCAGGCAGCTACTAGGAGGTATTATTATTGTCTGCGGACCTGCCCGGCTCTTGCTGGAGAATTACCATTCAAGGACAAGATTTTCCGCTGGCACCGAATTCGGCGTCCTGTACGACATCAAGAAAGGATTGACAGGGCCGTGGATCCAGTTTCGGAGGAGGAAAAGCACTTTCTAGCGTGCCGGCACATCTTATCTGATTATTGCGATCAGCCTGATCCAGGCTCGTCTGCATTATGATTGGCTGCAGGCACTGATTAGATTGAGCGATTTTTTATCAATCTAATCTCTGAACTCTCCCCCACGCTAATACATTCATCCTCGAGGGTTTTCGGATTCTTTTCTCCGTCCTATATCGGACATGTTTCTTACTGTGTGTCCAGGCACCTCAGTCCGAGAGCCGGAGCCGAGTGTCTCGGTCTTTGCTCTGCGGGCCGAGGGTCCGACTCCGACGTCTCACGGTCTCACGGCATGCCGAGGACTACTTGTATTCCGGGATACTCCGTAATTGAATCCCATCATCGCTCTGTCACGTGTTGTCAAATGGATGAGGAGGATCCTGGATCTATCTTGAATCTGTCATGATGAATAATATTCACGGCTAGTTCCGTTGGCAGACATACCTATCAAAGAGGCAAAAACCGAAGATCAGCCGGAAATCCCCTCAGCTTCAACGGGAAGATGCCGGGTCCAACAAGACGGCAGTGACAGGACGCTGATCTCGGTGATTGGATGCACTCCCAAATGACAGACCCAGTTGTCTCTGGGTCCTTCGTTCCTGCCGAACTCGGCTGTTGCCATACGCAGGCCAGCGGTATATAACAGCCGCGTCTCGCCCAATCCAGCCTGAGGCATCGCGTTGCCCACTTTCCCAAGACGCTGAACATTGGAACCATGCTGCGCCGGACCGTTGGCATCCTCGCGGTGCTGTCCCTGGCGTCTGCAGCTCCGCTGTGCCAGACTGCCTCCAGCTCGTATGACTACATCGTCGTCGGCGGCGGCACCAGCGGTCTGGTCGTCGCAAACCGCCTGTCCGAAAATCCGAACGTGTCCGTCCTGGTCATCGAGGCCGGCGACTCGGTCTACAACAATGCCAACGTGACCAACGTCAATGGCTACGGACTGGCCTTTGGGACGCCCATCGACTGGCAGTACCAATCCACCAACCAGACCTACGCTGGCAACACGCGGCAGACGCTCCGTGCTGGCAAAGCCCTGGGAGGCACGAGCACGATCAATGGTAGGTATTTGAATCCGGCCAGACTGGTAGGACTTGCTAATGATGTAGGAATGGCCTATACGCGCGCCCAAGACGTCCAGATCGATGCCTGGGCGGCGATCGGGAATGACGGCTGGGACTGGAGCTCGCTCTGGCCGTACTATCTCAAGAGCGAGGCATTCACCGCGCCGAACCAGACGCAACGGGCAGCCGGTGCTTCTTACAACCCAGCGTACCACGGAGTGACCGGACCTCTGCATGTGGGCTTCATCGAGATGCAGCCCAACAACCTGTCTTCGATTCTGAACCAGACCTACCAGGCTCTCGGGGTTCCGTGGACGGAAGACGTCAACGGAGGAAAGATGCGTGGCTACAACTTCTTCCCGTCGACGGTCGACGATGCAGCAGATGTTCGGGAAGATGCTGCTCGTGCTTACTACTACCCCTTTGAGTCCCGCCCGAATCTGAGGGTCATGCTGAACACGCTCGCGAACCGGATTGTCTGGAAGAATGAGACCAGCGGCGGAAATGTCACTGCGGACGGAGTGGAAGTCACTCCGCTCAATGGGACCGTCTGTAGGATTCAGGCAAACAACGAGGTCATTCTGTCGGCTGGTTCTCTTCGCTCGCCGGGGATTTTGGAACTCTCTGGGGTTGGGAATCCAAGGTAAGCCAGATTATCTGTTTTGAGGAGCTCAAGGATCAATATAATAACTGACTGATGTCTAGCATTCTGAACAAATACAACATTCCCGTCAAAGTCAACCTGCCAACGGTGGGAGAGAACATGCAAGACCAGATGTACAATGATGCCAGCGCCGAGGGATATTCGGCCATCGCCGGTACCAAGTCTGTCGCCTATCCATCTGTGACGGACCTCTTTGGCAACCGCACCAGCGCTGTCGCGGCCTCTGTTCAGAACCAACTGGCCCAGTACGCCGAAGCAGCGGCCAACCAGAGCCAGGGAACCATGAAAGCGTCCGACCTGCAGCGCCTGTTCCAGATCCAATATGACCTGATCTTCAAGCAAGAGGTTCCCATTGCCGAGATCATCACTTATCCCACCGGGAACACCCTGGCGGCCGGGTACTGGGGTCTCCTTCCCTTTGCTCGGGGAAGCGTGCATATCGCATCCGCCGACCCAACGGTCCAGCCGGTAATAAATCCCAATTATTTCATGTTCGACTGGGATGTGCAGCAGCAGATTGGCACGGCCAAGTTTATCCGGAACTTGTACAAGACGGCGCCGTTGAGCAGTCTTGTCAAAAACGAAACGGAGCCAGGCAGTGCTGTGCCTGAGGGAGCATCGGATAGTGTTTGGGAGGCGTGGCTGAAGGAGACATGTAAGCTCTTCTAACAGCCCTCAATGAAATCAATCATAACCAGCTGACTTCGCGATTAGATCGGTCGAATTTCCATCCCGTCGGCACCGCGGCCATAATGCCCCGGTCTATCGGAGGGGTGGTTGACGAACGACTGCGGGTGTACGGCACAGCGAATGTGCGCGTGGTCGATGCTTCGGTGCTTCCATTCCAGATTTGCGGCCATCTGACCAGCACGCTGTATGCAGTTGCAGAGCGGGCATCCGATTTCTTGAAGGAGGATGCGGCCAGATTGGGCAATTGACGCACGAGACATAACCTGTACATACATAATAAGTTTCCAGTTGGAGTAAAATAAGAACTATCCTATCCTACTTATGTTCTCTGAGTAGACGAGAGATTCTAATTAGGATGCAAAAAAAGAGAAAAAAAAAGAAAGATCAGTTATCGTCGTATGATATAATAACGATAAAGATATATAGGTAGACGGGATAGGGAGGACTCAACCGACCTTGATTTGATTATTATTGGCTTGATACCGTTCGTATCCGACCTGCTCTGAACAGAAGATGGAATTATCTTTTTTACCCTCTCTTTTCTTCTTCCTATGTATTTTCTTTTCTTTTCTTTTTCTTGCCCCTCCCTAGGCATAGTACTGCACTGTACATACAATAGTATAGAGATAGGAATGCCCGAAATGCAGATATCAGACTTCCTAATAAGGAATAAAAATAAGAATAGAATAGAATAAGGAGCCAGGTCATCAATCAGTCAATCAGTCAAGAAAAAAAGATTCCACAGATTTGTGCACCCTTTGCATCCTGCACGTCCGGAGTCCCATTTTTCTATCTATCTAGGTATCCAGCAGATAATAATAGCTTGGTAGCTTGGATTGGATTGAATTAGAACATGGTATTGTATTTATTGTACTGTATTGCATTGCATTGCATTGCATTGTTTGAATTCAGAATTCATCATCTCTGGTTCTGTTCACTCATCATCTACCCTCGCTCGTTTCGACCGGTCCTCGCGCTCGCGGTCGGCTTCTTGGATGCCATAGCGCTTCTGGCCTGCTCCGCCGCCGCCGCCGCCGCCGCCAGTCACGTCGGCGATCATGCTGTCGATTCCGAATGGGTCGGTTGTGTCTTTCTCGAATTGGACGGGCCCGTCTCGTGCCTGGTGATGGGATAAGTTAGTTTTGCGCTTGCAGAGAAGGTTGTGTGGGTGGGTGGGCGTGTACATACCTCAGCTTCGGCTGCGCCCTTGAATCCTTCCTTCGCCCTGCCTAGTACTTCAAATCGATTGCTCTTCTGTATCCGACTCATCTCGTTCGCTGCCGCCTCTTCGTCGTCTTCATCCACCTGCGCCCGCGGCCGGTATATGCTGTTGATCGCGTCCTGCGCGGCAAACAGCGGCTTGTCGTACGGGTTGTCTTCGTTGTAGCCTGCTTCCAGGCCGCTGGTCCGGTTGAACAACCGCGAATCGTACATCGACTCGGCGCTCTGCGTCGGCTTCGCCAGGCCCAGCGCCACCTTCTCCGAGATGTCGCGGTTCTGCTCCCGCGCCAGCACCTGGATCCGCCGCTCCGCGCCCATCCGCGACTGACGGAGCTGTCGTTCCATCTCTTGACGGCGCTCGCGACGCAGACGATCCCGCTCCCGCGCCGCCTCTTCATCCTCGCTGGGCGTGGCCGACCGCGACGAGTACGGCGACGGGCTGCGGCTGCCACTGACAGAACGAGAGCGAGTACGAGACGCCCGTCGGCCGGCTGCCGCCGCAGCCCGCTCTTCGCGTGCCTTCTGCGCCAACATGCGGAGATGCTCCTCTTTCTGGGCCTTCTCCTTCTCGGCCAGCTTCTGCTGCATCTGCGCCCGCAGCCGCACTTCCTCACGGGCGTGTCTGTCTGCGGTGAACAGCGCCTCTGCAAACTGCGCAAATTTGTCGTTGATCGTCACGTCCTGCAGGCCACGGCCATCGGCGGCCAGACGCTTGTCCAGCGGGATCGTGTAACCTTTGGGGTTCTTCCAGTTGGAAACCGGCGGAGGGATCTTCCAGGCCTCCTGGTCCTCTGCAGTCAGTTTCCGCGGCGGGGAATGCATGATGGGTGGCGGTGGGGATGGCGGTCCTCGAGGAATCTTCTTGTGCTTGAACTTGGGCGGCTCCATCGGGTCCTGTTGCCTCTCCACGATCTTCACAATACGGTCGTTCTTCCGGCTCGTATCTCCCATCTGGTTCGCGGGCGTATACCGGACAAAGGTAGGCTCTGCTCTCTTGTTGCCCTTGATGTTCTTCGGCCTCTGGGAGGCGACCGCTCCCTGCACCAATTTCTCCAGTGCATTTTTCGTCTTTTCCATCTGTTCTGCAACTTCCTCCTCCGACGGGCGGTCGAGGGAGATTTCGCCCATGTCTACCCGCTGGCGCAGGGGGATGAGGTCCTTGAAGGAGGCGTGGACGATGCGGTTCTCGCTGTGACCCCGCCGGGCAATGGCGTCGTACTTGACTTTTCCTTCCGCATCGACCTGCACGGGGATGGCATTCGAGGTTGTTGATGTGCCTTTCCGACCCATGTCCAGGGGGTACTGCGCGACCAAGATTTCAGGAAACGCGCCACCGTCGCCAAAGTCCTCGGGGGCGCGTGGTCGCCATCCTTTTCGCTGACCGTATGGGGGTGGGCCAGATTTCTAAACAGTGTCAGCTAATACTGTGATTCCAGCAGGCACAGGTTATAAACTCACCCTCACTACGACCTGGGTCTCGTCGAGCGCACCGGCGCCCAGCACGCGAGGGCCGCGAGGCTGGGCGTGCGCAGGCAACTCTTCATCTTCGCCGGTGTATTTCGGCTTCGGCAAAGACTTGAAGAGACCTTCAGCGACAGAAGTCATTGTCACGACTTCCGACAGCAGAGGTCCGATGGGTAGGAAAAACGGTGTAAGAAATTGGGTGATCGAGTTGATCCGAATTGATTAAGATTTGATGGTTGAGCGTGATGGCGACTTCTGCGCGGGTGGCACGTGACGCCTCCCGTAGTTGCGGATCCGCCAATCAAGCATCCAGATAGAGCTACCACTAATACTACTACTACCACGACCATTATTATACCAGTATGGCAACTTTTTTGTCAACGAGAAATGGACCCGATTATTTGTTTTGATTCCTCTCAGCAGGGTTTATGACTTGTGAGAATGTTTTTTAAGTCATCGTCCAGTCCACAGCGAAAGGAAGGAAAGGAATAAAAAGAAAGGACAAATTTTCAATCAAGGAGAGACACTAATTCAGGAATATTTAATTTACCTAGTGCATACGCTGAGAACCATGCATTTGTAAGTTACACTTTTTTTGTTCTAGGTACTGTACATACATAACCTCGTCTGCAGTAAAGACCTCTCTCTGGTAGACAAAGCTCAGTACTTTTCATAGATAGGACATCCATTATCCATGATCATCCATAGAAAAAACAAGCAAGAAGGGGCAATTATGAATGAATAAAGGATAAGTGAGGCATGAGCCACTCCAGGAAGGAGTCTGGAAAGAAAGAAATGAGATGAGCAGGTCAGTAAGCAAAAGAAAGACGATGTAATGTACATGTATAATGCATGCACATCCTTCTTCTCTAGACTTGCTATGCTAGGCTAATGCTCACTTCTTGCCTGGCTGGCTGTCTTAATCAAGCCCCAGCCCCAGACCCAGGCTGAGAACCAGGCATCTCACGCACAAAATACGGATATCCAGATGCAGCATTCGTCCAGCTCCCAGGCTGACAGTTCTCCGGAATATCTCTCGCAACACGCAAGGTGTAAGAGCCATCGACCTCACGGACCCAGAACTGGCGACCTTGCTGCTGGTCTTGCTGAAAAGCATCATTCATCATGTTGATGTCGATATCAGGATCAGTGCTGTCGTAGGGAGTTATCCGCATTGTGGTAATAGGCTGCTGCTGCTGGTGTCTTCTTCTGATTGGTTCTGGTGCTTTGGTCGCAGTAGCAGCAGCAGCAGTAGTATTTGCGTACATGGTGTTCTGACTGTTGATCCCTGCTCTAGTTGTTCCTGATAGTGGGATGGTGATGCTAGCGCTGCTGCTGCTGGCAAAAGCTGTAGTAGGGATGGCTGCGAATGGGTGCTGTGGACGAGTAGTGGGATAGCAAAGTCTAGGAGGTGGGTTGTAGGAGGAATGCAAATAGCCCTGCTGGTGCTATTATTATGTCAGTAGCAAATAAAAAATATAAAAGTAACAAGCATAATAATGATGCTGTGGTGTATATGACAACATATAGACATCTCAGAGGTGCTTGACTTGTTTCCATCAAATGAGAAGAGAAGTAAGAAAGGGCAAGGTGCTTTCAGTGAAAAAGGGAGGAAAGAAGAGGAGGACAAGACAGTTGATTCTGCTGAAACAGAGACACCAAGGGGTATATTTGATCCTGCCACACTGGCACAGTATTCCAGTGGAGATCATCTGTGGAGGGATATATGTGTTCCTTGAGCTCAGTAGAAGCGGAATCCAGAGAGGAAACAACACCTGATAGACAGCTAATTTGTTCTTGTCATTGAAGCCACTTCCCAGTATGCAGCCTGGACAGTGCCTATGTGGGCAACGTGGCAGCTCTCTCAAGACAGACAATACAATCTCAAGAAGCAGTAATAATCCAACATAGGTAACTTCACAAAGACACAAAAATCAGGTAGATAGGTAGATAGGCTGATAACAGAGCTGTTGTCCACTCACATTCAAAGCAACAAACACATCCCCACGCTCAACAAGATGCGCCTCCGTCATTGTCCTGAAGACCCCTCTTCTCTTCTTTCTGGTCTTGCGTGGATCGTCATCGACAAGATATTGTTCTGAGGGAAAGCAGAAACACATTCCTGCTTGCGTGCATGTAAGAGAGTAGATGAGGAGATATTGTAGGGCTGACGCCGAGACAAGCTTGACAGAGAGAGATAGATAGGTAGGTAGAGGAGAGAGTACTGTGGAGTACGCGTAGTAATTAATGCATATTTCTGCACCTCCTGGATGACAAATGTGTGGACAGCAGATGTAAACAATGTGTTTGGCTGGTTTGAATCTGGGGTTTTAGTGAGTTTTGACAGACAGACTGGTGAATAGTCAGAGCATTCATTTGCTCAGTGATGATCAGCTAGGTAGGATTCATGCACTGGAATACCTGACCGTTATTAACTGCACTCACATCTTTACTCATGACAGATATCCTGCAGATAAGACGATCTCGTGAATATCAATTAATAGATTAACTAATTAACTGACTTTGAGGAGTGGGTTGCAACTGTCTATATCCAAGGAGATCTAGTATACAGTACATTATATCTGGCGTATCTTGCATATCTGGCGATTATCTTCTGATAAACATCTACTCCACCACATGCGACCGCATAGGACAGGTGACGCCCTCGTCATCGCCAGCTTCTACCATGTGTCGCCGTCCGCTAAACGTGTACCATATCCGCAGCTTCTTCGGCAGCAACGGCGCCGGGTCGTAGAACCCCAAGATCTGGAACTGGACGCAAGTCAGCAGCTGGGTTGGTCGTCACATACTAGGTAGGAGAGGCAACATACCTTGACAGTGTCGCGAGGGATAATAAGCTGGCCATGGTCGACCAGCGCTGCCACCGGAATCGTCACGTCGATGACATTGCTTTCCGCCTCTTCACCAGCCACTTTCCTATCTGAAGGTGGGAAGTATCCGTATTCAGCGCGGTCGATAACCAAGCCGCCCTGCGCTTTCTCCCTCTCCTGTCTTCGACGGACCTGCTCGGACATCAGTTCGATCGCTTGCTGGCTCTCTGCCTTCCGCTTTGCAGTCAATTTCTTCAGCTCCTTCCGCCGTTTTATAATGGCCTGACGACGTTTCCGCCGCTCCCGCGGACGGATATATCCAAATTCAATCCCGCAATACGTCGCCCACGGAATGATGACTGCCAGAGCAGCAAGTTCCGCGCTAACGAGGTCCAGAGGGCAAATGACGACAGGCAAAGAGATCGCCTGGCCAAGTCGACGCCACGAGACGGAGATGGTAAGTCCGCGGCGTCCCGAAACCCCGACTCCCAGACCAACGCGCGTGAAATCGCCGACCTGTCTCGTTCCGGAAATGTGCCAGGCGAGCGACCCGTCCAGTCCCGCAGTGGTTTCAACCTCAAGCCGAACAGCGCGATGTCCTGTCGTCGGAGCGATAGGATGATAACCTTCCAGGTTCCACTCCGAACGAGGAGGCTCATCGACGCGTCCTGAAAACAGGTTCCTTTCATAACGCAGTGTCAGATTACCCCCCTGAGGGGACGCACTCACTCGCCAATGCCAAGCTTCAGCAGGATGTCCTTCTTTTAACCTCTCGTCGAGATCCTCCTCGTCTTCCTCGTTCACCTCCGTCTTCTTCGCCGGCTTTGGGAGAGATAGATAGCCGACGTCAATCTGACTCGGCTGCACAGGGGCTGAGAATGCAGACTCGGGATCCAGACCGATCTCAACGATGGGCAATAGCATCTGGTGAAGCAGCATTGGCCAATTTATAGTTCCGCTGGACCAGGTGCAGTATACGTGCTTTCTCGGTGCGAGCTGTCTCGATACTGATAGCCCAATGACCGGTGGTAATGACAATGGAGACCTCGTGAAATTAGTGCGGAGGGAGAAGCTAATAGGCTGTGTTCCTGGAAATGGCGCCACAGACTTGACGATAAAAGTCTCCAAGGCTGGAGACGGGAGCAGCATTCCCGTGCATCCCACTGTCGCCCCGTCAAGCAAGGAAGACAACTTTTGAGGGAGACCTTTTCTCAACCCAACAGCGCCAACAGTATGGGAGACGCTCGCGCTCAGCGACATATTTTTCGCGACCATAATCAGCGGCAGAGCAACCTGCAGATGATCAACAGTCGTTTCCCTGACAAGCAGGCACGACTACCTACCTGTTTCGTCTCTTCCGTTCCGTCCTCGTATACGAACTTCATCGGCTGCTTGGGCCTCTGGAGCTGGCCGGCAATACTGGCGTTCAAGACCACCTCTGGTCCTCCAGAAGGCTGCTCTTCTGACGGTGTTTTTGTCTCATCCTCCTCCTCCTTTTCCTCCGGGACTCTTGTAAAAAGATTCCTGAATTCTGGAAGAGGCGCCCTGAAGGAGTAACCCATCGAATACTTATACGGGTGTATCGACGGAAAGCGAAGATAGACATAGTCACCGTCATCGGCAGCCTCGACCATGGACGACGCGTCGAGTCCGATGGAAACTGAACCCTGCGAGTTCAGCAAGGTCAGCATGGACGGGATCAGCGAAATGCCTCCGGCCAGGATATATACGCACCCTAGCATGGACCAACTGGTCCAGTACCTGTCGCTCTCGCGACTTCATAGTCTCCACAAACCAGCGACGAAACTCCTCCGCATTCATCGCCTTGATCCCTACCTGTTTCCTCTCCGCCTCACCACCGCGACCCATCGCGCCGCCGGGGCCCCATTCCCTCCTGACGCCTCCCGCCCCCTGGAGGTCATACACGGTCCGCTTCTTCGGGTCGATCAGGGTCTCGTAGGCCTCTTTGATCCGCTCGAAATGCGCCTCGGCGGCCTCGCGCAGGTGCGCCGGCTGCTTGTCGGGGTGGAAGCTCAGGGTCAAGGTGCGGTAGGCGGATCGGATCTGGGCGTCGGTGGGTTGCGGCGAGCGCGACAGGCCCAGCAGAGCGTAGTAGTCCACGTCGTCCGGGTAGTCCATCAATCTGCTGAAATCGGCATCCGTCGCCTCGTAGTCATCCTCCTCTGCAGAGCCATGGCGGTGATGATCACCATGTGGTGAGCCGTTGGCAAGGCCATTGTTTTCCCGGTCGTTCGCCATCCCGATTTTATCTGTACAGTACACACAGTGACTCTCGCACCGATGACGCTCTATAGACTCGTTAGTCGACGCATAGCTCGCATCTTTTCTTATTTATCGCGTCAATGGCGAAATTGTCGGTCTAGAGATAACAACGGCCTCGAAACCGTTAGGCATGGAAAAAGCTTCCGCCAGGTTGCAGGATGACATCGGAAAAAAGCTCGGCTCGGCGCCGCGGAGCGTGACGGAGGGGCCTGAAGCCAGACTGCGGGGAGCGACCATGACGTGACCTTAAAAGTTAGTACATAAACATCGCCCTAGAACAAATAACACGCCATGGAGGACAGCTGGATGTGTGTTGTGTCACATCGTCGGCGGGTATTCTTGTGAATAATTTACTAACTACCAGCTAGTCCATGTGATCGGCAAGACTCACAGGGCTGGTCGACCAGCTGGATGACATGCAGCAAGAGGACCTCTGTAATTCAGCCTTGTCGTCAACATCTTAGCCCATCTCAGCATAGCTTTCTGCGTCCGTTGCTTGTTCAATGAAACATGTCTTAAATGCCGACAGGAAGGTGGAATATTTAATGCTTGGTCAACCCACACGTAATTATTCATTTCTTTCCATAAGGTCGTCTTCCTAGTTGCATACCTGCTGCAGGAACCCGTCTTACATAGACGGAGGAGCCAGTTCTGATAATGACAAGGCATGGAGACGCAAGAGCTGCCAACGGCCATCCTCCCATCTACCGAATCGACCTGTCTCTTCCTCCACGCGAACGCTATGTAGAGCTGTCGCGATTGTACCGCGATGAGCTGCACTCCCTCACCGATCTGTTCGACGAGCTCGTGGAGGCCTTTCTCCCGAATGTTCCTGTCAAATTTATCCGCGGACTCGCCCGCCTCGCTCTGCGACGACTGTTCACCACGGAGGAGACGGAGGAGATTCGCGGGATCAGCCAGGCTGCTGGCGTCGACATGTACCTGCTAGTCGCCTTTAACGTTCTTCTCGACGTGCTCATGGGCTGTACCAGTGGCGGAGTCCGAGTGAAGGCTGAGGACAGTTCTCACACGAAGATGCTCCATTTCCGCACCCTGGACTGGGGGATGGATGCCCTGAGAAAGCTCATCGTCCAGCTGGAGTATGTGTCAAGTCCCGACACGGACGAGATCCTGGCTACCAGCATCACGTATGTCGGGTTCGTGGGCGTCCTGACAGCGGTGCGAAAGGGGCTCAGTGTGTCGCTGAACTTCCGCCCCATCCACGACACGAGCAGAAGATGGGCGAACTTCCGATTCTATTTCAGTCATCTGCTGGTTCTTCTCGGGACCAGGCGTTCCATCTCGTCACTCCTCCGTCAGTGCATCCTACCTGAAACAGCCCCTCGACATCTTTCCTTCAGCAGTTATTGCACGCTGCCGTGGCGGCGCCGGAAGAGCGATAATACTTCTAGCATTCGTGCCTCAAATGCGCCGTCGCTAGCCTTTCTTCAGGACAGAATACCCTCAGAGCCAACCACGGCCGCATACTTGATATTCAGCGATGGCGCATCCACCATGACAATGGAGAAAGATCACCGAACCGCCGTTGTGCGATCATCGTCGTCGTTCATTGTTATTACAAACAACGATCTGGAGCCCGATGCGCCGTCCACAGGGCAGATCGCGAAAGAAAAGCAAGAAAGCCACGCGGGGTTGAGCCTGGTCTCGGGAGAATTAGAGAGCATGATAGATATCATTGCAGAGAGTAACCTCCGACGTGCCTGTATCCAGGAGCAGTGGGACAAGAAAGTGCGCCGGGCTGCAGGCGCTGGGAAACGAACCTCCTCGCATCCAACCAGAGAAGAAGTCAGCTGTGAGCCTGACGATGACATTGCTGCGACACCGCGAGAAGTGATCAAGTGGCTGAAAACTTACCCCGTTACCAACGAGACGACTCATTTTGCTACAGTCATGGATCCAACTGAAGGCAAGGTTGTTTGGGTGCGGAGGTATCCAATTGGTTTTACGCCTGATACTCAGAATGCTTTTTCCTCTCCCAACGTCCGCCTACCCTGATAAGGGCTTTTCCTTGTACTGAGTGATATGGTTAGGCTATGCTCGTATCAGAGATAATGTAGATAACGGGAAATGAATATTTGAATTGAAATCCTCGCTCCGTTCCGCTTGCAGACAGACTCTGAGGAAAACAGAAATAATACATAACAGGAAACCTATATGCTAATCTCATAACAGGCGTAATAACACACAGCGAATATTTCAAAAATGTTTGTCCAAAATGTTGGGAAAAAGGATAACACCGAATATATCGTTGTGTCTATCCATGGGTCTGTTTAAGGAAACCCTTCTCACAACAGCTGTCTGTCACAGAATTATAAGAAGAAATTGGTCCAAAAAAGTACACGCCAAATGAGAAGGAAAACCATTTTCAGCCCGCCAGATCAATGCGTCTCCTTTACCAACAAAATGTGATCGCTGTGGATCAATGCCTCTTCCATACCCAACGCCTTAAAATGCCTCTGCAATGGAAGGTCGTAAATCAAGTCGCCGGCACTGGCTACCGCCCGGTTGTGCTCCAAGCTGCCTGAATAGACGGCAGCATCCATGGACGGGCCATCGAGTGCAAATCCCAGCTTCCGATTGTTCAACATCGATATGTCCCTGACAGCGGTGGCCAGTGAGTTGGCCCGTATCCTGAGTAGTCTGCTCTGAGGCCGAACAACATCCCAGAACCGGCAGATATCGTCAATAACATCGAGTCCACCATTCAGCAGCGAGATGCACTCCGACATGTCAGCCACGAAGCCAAAAGCGCTGAGGACGTCCGCAGCAGACAGGATCGCGTAGTTGATGTAAGGTGCAGAAAAAATCGACCTTGGTGCAAAAGACTCAGGGGAAGAACGAGACGGCCGCGACTCGGAGTTGAAATGGCTCAGGGTGAGTGACATACGCAAAATTTCGGTCGCGTGATACCTCGCCCGTCGGATATTGCTATCCACCATGGTTTCGGGAAGGTTCTCGTGTCGGACGTGCCGGTTCAGTCTCAACAGTGTTGCGTGATACAGCATATGGATGGAAACAAAATTATCGACCTTTCCAGACCGGATACTGTTCTCCATATTCGCCATGGTGTTCGTGTAATGACTAGGAAGCGAATTCATCCAGGTCTCCGCTTGCCTCATCACGGATATGTAGTATCCCTCAAACCATGCTCTGTAAGCCTCGCGTGGCATATGTGCTGAACGGCATATGTGAGAAGTGACATCGCCCCAAAGAGATATGATTTCAATCAGAATCGCCATCAAACCAAAGCCTGACCGATCGGATTGGAATGATAGAGCGTCATTCATTTTATTTTGAAAGTATGGGACAGTCACGTATTGTTGTGCCTCGTAAACGTCTTCATGGCATGGCAGTCTGAGGAAGATATCGTCAGACGGCAGATTGACGGGGGAAAGGGAATAGAATGCAGAAAAGCGCTGCCATGCAGTTAGCTGTAGACTCGACAGAATCACCGCAGGGAGAGGTAACTAACATCCAGGATGAAGACAGCCCAGAAGGTGCGTCGATGGCACTCAATCAGGGCTTGAGGATGCAATCCATATTCGCAAACCTGGTTCGCGCCAATAACCGGTCCATCCGGTTCAACGTTGTAGCGCAGTCCGCAAACCGTCCTGGCGGCAGCACCGATGAAATCCCAGGCGTTGGTCAACGCCCCTATAGCGGAGTACCACAAGCTCAGAATGATTCGACTCTGAGCTAGTTGTAAGGTCAGACGATGCTGACTCTTGTCCACTGCGTACTTAGCCGTCGTAAAAAACCGCTTTCCCGCAACGATCCTTTCCGGACGATCTGAAAAAATCGATCCCAGCGCCAGCACCGAGTAGAGGAGCATCTTATCGTCCAGAGACTTGGTTCGACAGGATTTCAGCCAAAGAAGAAACGGTTTCCTCGGTAGCAATTGAAAGAGGCCGTCGTTGATGCACGCAAAAAACCTGTCCACGTAATGAACCGTTGCCTCTGGATCGACTTCGATAGGATCCGAAGCCCACTCGCGAAAGGCCGCGTCGTTGGACTCCTGCTCGGTGACTTCCATCAAGATATCAGCGCGATCAGAAGAATTGCGAATTTTCATGAGATCGGCTTCAGATTTCGACGAGTCGGCGCTACCAACGGAGCCTCTCCTTCGCCTCTTTGGGGGCTTCCCCAAGTCCAATATGCTCCCCTGGGCCACGTCTGGTGCCGTAGTAGGTGTAAATTGCTTGTCAGATCCCGGCGATTGGGAGGTAGGACCTGCAAGAGCAGGGGAGCTGCCCGAAGCTCGTGGCAGGTTATAGATCATGTTCGAGCCATGAGGACTGTTAGGGGTCGTCGAATGAGATGGCAGCGTTTGGCTGGATTTTGGGCGGGTCGATTGAGGCTCGTAAGAAGCAGACCTGGACGCGGCATGATTGCCACGCGGCCTGGGATGCTGTTAGCGAAATCTCTCCCACTAGCCAGGGGGAAATCATCCAAGTACACTCACGCACTCTCAAACCGGCATTCTCTCCCCGACTTCTGGCACTGGTCACATTTCGGAAGGTTTGGCTGACATTTGATTTTCTTCTCTCTGCAGGTGACGCAGGCCTGGGCCAACCGTTTCCGCGGCTTTCCTGCTTTTGTAATTCCCCAATTTGCGTTAACGGGCTCACCGTCGATGACTTTGGGACAGTAAGACCCGTCTGCATAAATGTAGCAGAGCCCTTCTCCCTCGATGTATCGCTCATCCACGACGTGAGGAAGAATGGCAGGTCGTTGCAATCCTGCACGCGGACTGCCATTCTTGACACTCTTCGTTTGAGTCGGGGGAGATTCGCCCTGAGACATTTCCTGACCTCGTAAGATGTCGCGACTAGGAAGGGCACCACGTGCAGCTGGCATATCAGGATCTTTGGGAGAGCGGGTCTCGAGCCCGAATTGGGAGATCGAGGGCAGTTTTCCAGCTTGCTGTGAGGGGTGTTGCCCATAAGGCCCGTTCGAGCGAGGAATCAGGGATGGTACTCCTGTAACGGAGGATCCAGCAGGGGGAGACGATTGGACCAAACCGTCATGCAGATCGCTCGACGTCGTGCTGAGTGGCGTACTTCCCCGATATTGCGAATATGGCGAGGGCGGAAGACTGGCCGGTGACAGCAACTGAGTTACGGATGGAAGCTTCTCTCTGCTGTTCTGGTTTCTCGAATGCGCCCCCGTCACAGGACGAATTTCTTCCGGCTGAGGATTTTGCTGACGATGGTTATCCGCACCAAAGGGCAACGCGGCTGACGGACGAGGTGGTGGGAGCTGATACGGGTAGTTGCCTGAGATGGGCTGGCCCTGCCAGGCTTTCTGGCCCTCAGCCGACGAGGGACCATTTCGGAAAGGTAGTTGTTGGCCGGTCGGTTCAATATGCAGATTTGCCATGGCCGACAACCGTTTGTTGGACGCCAGAGTGGTAGACTGTTACGAACGGCAGCCTTGCGCGGACTGCGGGGACAGGCGCTTTCCTCTCCAGACGAACAGCGATGGCAAATGATCTCGAAGACACTGCATGAGCCAGGGGTCAAGCGGAGCAGGAGGGAGTATATTCTGGATCCGTTCTTTACTTTCTTCCTTCAGGTTGTGTCCTTTCCCCAAATTCTGATCCGGAAAGAATTGAAGCCCGACCGCTCTAATGTTTGATAGGTCCAGGGTCAGCAGCGGAGAGCTTCAAGTATTTTTTAAGCAGGCGCAACAACTACTCCACCTACTGTTATTCTAGTGTCTTTCTGGAGATGTCGGAGGGAAAATAATAAAAACAGGCAGCAAAGCCTGTTGTCGGAATTCAACGTTGATGGGATGGAAGCGGGCCGAGTCAAATATCCGAACGGCAGAATTTCCAGCAGCGACGGTGGGAAAATGGTGTTGTAAACAGACGAAATGATGAACGACAAATCGAAGGAGAGAATAATAAATCACACGACCGAGGGTAAATGGGGAGAAGGACGGGGCATGTTAGAAAGCAAGCACCAGGGCGACTTGGCAATCCTTTTACAAAGCCAGGGATCTCTCCCCGAATCGGACGGCTGCAGACGTCGGGAGATTTTCAGTCTAACACGACACGAGACGTGTTCCAGAAATCGAGAGTCTTACAGACGTGGGGCAGACATGCCTGATCCTGGGCGATCATCCAGTACGGAGTCGCGGGCAGCGGATTGATAAGCGACGCAGCAGGGAGTTTCACAGAATGGCAGATCATAGGTAGGCAGGTTTCTCAGCTCCATCGACGGAGGGGACGAATCAGTTCAGGCCGGCTGTTGTTAGGATGCGGCAAACACATGCATGCAAGTTGGGGCCTGGCCCAGGCTCTCCGTCGCAAGCGAGAGGAATCGCTAGTTGCCATTCCTTTGCATTTCCCATAACCGATTGCCTCTTGTTCTGGGAAAGTTTAATAGCGCCAAGTCCCCGCCATCGACACGTACCGGAAAATTGGGGATTGTGCCATCGCGGCATTAGATCGTTGGGGGGGGGGGGGAAGTGGGCAACGAGATGACCGCGGCCACCTAGCGCCGACGGGGAAGGGCCGTTAGGTGCAGCGGTGCAGGCAGCACTGGACAGGGGGATTGTTTCTCCTTGAAACGAAACCTTTTTTTTTGGGTCCCCCAACCGTTGCGATCAACAGGTGCATCCGGGAACCAAGTCCCAGCATGGCAGTTCGTGGTGGTTCAGTGCGGGAGAGTCAATCTGTCAGCGGTTGGTCTCCGGATCTCTTGTCGAGGGTGCGCTAAGAAAAGAAACGGTCCACCTTCAGAGAGCCTTGGAACGTTGTTTGGATGGGTCTTGGGCGCGCTCGCATCTGGGCCTAGCAGGCTAGGGGCGTTGCTGCCAATCGAGCTGCGGTGCTCGTTGGTTGATTGACGCAGCAGACAAGTGGGCAGAGAGTCGCCCGGCCGATGCCAGAAATAAACTTTGCGAATCCGACCCGCCATTCCGCGCGATCGTATCTAGCGATCGAGCGGCAGTCGGAAGACGGCCGCGAATTAATTCCCGACGCAGCTGGCGTGGTGAGAAGCTGCAGGTGCCGGGCTAGACAGGGGAGAAAAATAGCTCCGGTCGTGCTGAACTGTCGACACGAGGGGGCTTCTCAGCAGTCAGGGTGCCGACGGCGCACTGCTCTACCTTGCAGCGTCCGGAGCACTCTGTCGTCCATCCTCCACACCGACAACTCCTCCGTACGGAGCATAGATTTGCGCTGTGCAGCGGTATCACGCTCCCACTGCTACCCTGTGTCGACTGCAGAGGGACAGAGTCGACAGCGAACCTAAGGAACATGGACGGATGGACTAGTGGAGACGCGCCGTTCAGCCTCGTCGGTCGTCACCGTCACACTCCGATAGCAGGCGTGATTGTGATTGCTTGTCGGGCGAGTCCCGGAAACGAAGCCGAGCGGGCTTGTCGGAGCTTCTCTGGGGCTTCTCTGAAAGGTTAATCGAGCACGAGCGCGCGACGGCACGCAGGACGGATCAGCGGGGCGCAATCGAGCAGATGCAGAGCTAGGCCAGGCCCATGCATTCATGATTCGAGGACCGATCCCTGGCAGCGCGAGCCCCCAAGGACGATCGGATCTGCAGTGCAGCAGGATGGATCTTCTGGCGGCTTCTACTCCGTACAGCAGACGCCGGCGTGCGCTGCGGTGGCATGGCAGCTGGCAAGAGCGACGCAGCAACGGCCGGCGTGGGGATGGAAGGCGCGAGGGACCACCTGGCACCTGCCGCTTATGCCGCATTGGGGCCTTCCTCGTTGCTCGTCTCGGCTGTCGGTCGGCCTGCGCTAGAGCCGCCCGCTGGCGACTGCCG